ACAGAAAAGCCCGCCTTGAGCCTGCGATAAGAGATGCGCAAAAGCTTGCGCAGAACGTTTTTCCGCCCTGAAGCTATCCACTAGATAGTGATTTATCAAGTGGAAAGCATTATCCACCTTTCGAATAACCAGGGGTAGGTGGTGAGACTCACAAGGCTTTTTACAGTATAACCTAGATATTCTTTAGTATTGTCCTATTATTTTGCAGCACGTTCTGAGTGCAAACAATACTATAGCGTATCTTGTTATCTTGAAAGTTTTGTCTGCTAGAGTGGTTTTCGTTTTGTGTGATTTTTAGAACTGGTAGTCTTATGCACCCATATAAATTAATTAGTTGATATTAGTGTATTATGTAACTGCCATCATGGTAACTGTTTTCTTAGAAAGCTGCTCAACACCATCGCTTTGAGTAATGTTCATTATTATTAATTCTATTATTATTATTATTATTTTTATTATTATTATTATTATTATTATTATTATTATTATTATTATTATTATTATTATTATTATTATTATTATTATTATTATTATTATTTGTTTCTGGATCATGTTACTTGTGTTACCCCAAGGTATAAGTCCGAGTATTCTCAGTTACTGGTGGCGCTGATCTCTGCATATTTTATTACTTTGTGGTTTTGGAGACAGGAGAGGAGGGAGGGAGAGGGCGGGATAGCCAGGAAACCAATCGACAGCTAGAATACATACGCACTTGATCTACACACTTGGCATGTCTAATTTTATAATGTGCGGCTGTAACCTCCGAACATACTGGTAATGAAGGGTTTGAAATTTAGTGTTGATCAAAAGTTCCAATATTCGGAATTCTGTTACTGATATTCTGGGCTGTGAGTTACTATAGGTAGCCAAATAGTCAACATGATGGGTACGGTTTTTATGTGTCTATTGTTTTACTAACTTGTGTTGTTTTGCTTTCTTTCTTGCTTGACCCTGTGTTCCTCGTCCTGTGCTCTGACACGACTGATGTAGGTATCGCCCCTCAATAGCTGTCTCCTTCGTTGAATCTGAGTTAGGTTTCACTGAAGATGAGCAGTGTCTCAAGTTCTTACAAGATCTTGGCGTTGTCCTGACCCAAGATGGTACCAAGATCGATTGCAAGCAGTCCCAGGGGATCCTCGCGGCCAGCTGACCCGTCCCGAATCGACCCAAGCCGACTCGTCCCGACAAGTCATCAGATAGCATTTATTAGGGAAATGCAATTAAGTTTCAAGCGAATGTGTAGTAGGCTTCGTCTTCGTATTGCCCACTTCGTATTTGCTAATAGGTTTTTTTTTTATGGTATGGGAAAGAATAGCACTATTATAATTATAGAAATATTTAGGTTTTCTAATTTATCTGTGTAAATACTATTTGAGCTAACAACTCGCAACGTCTTTTACGCGAGTGATTATGTACTATAATCTCTTTAAATGTCCTTCAAGAGTAGCAGTCGAGCCACGAAGTTTGGATATTTACGTGTAAAGAGCGGGTTCTCTGTTGCTGATGCTGCTGTTTCTGTTCTTGCTGCTGCCGCTGTTACAACGCTGTACGTTATTGCTGTCGATAGATGTCTCCTCAGTTTTGTCAGCCTTTCTCTCTTGCAGGCCTCATCCGCCGACAGACAGCAAGAAAGATGTTGAAGCTCGACTCACAAGATGGCCCACCGGTCTGTATACCAAACGTTCAACCAATAAATAGTAAATGAGTGAACTTTGAAGTCGTGATTTATTGGTAAATAAATTAGAGTTTTTTTGAAACCTAACCACTTCAGTTCGTTTCGATAATTCTGTGCGTTCTTCCTTTAGCATAGTCCATGTCAATTCGTCTGAACGCCACAATAGGGCCATTTATACGAGGAAAAATAAGACGCGAACTTTCCGTATAGTACGCATGCGTTAATTTTTGGCGGGAAAATTATCGCTTGCCCCGCAGCGGACTGGCAGGCTACTGGCGGGAAAAAGTTGTTTACATAACGCGTTTTCGTTTTCTTGTGTCTTTTCTTGTCTATTTTGCTTTATTTTTTTCTTCGCTCAATTACAATGAGCTCTCCGTTAAAAGGCAAAAAGAAACTCTTAGTCCTTCGCGGAGGACAAGGATTTCTTGTTATTATGCAAGGAGAAGGCGATAGCAGACCTCCTGGACAAATGCTTGACATCTGCTGGTGTAAGTAGACCCTTTTTAACTTTAAACTATCTCAATTTGTATTTACTCATCAAACTGCTTTCTTCGTACACTTAAAAAGTAAGTTCAGTTCATTCACATGAAAATGAGTGAAGAACAGAAATAAGACGCGAACCATTTATACGAGCTGTTTTCGTCTCAGATAAGACATGCTCGTATAAATGGTCCAGTTCGCGTCTTATTCAAGACGCGTCTTATGCAAGGCGCGTCTTATTTTTCCTCGTGTAAATAGCCCTATTAATGCCATTGTCCACTTTGCTTCGCGAACTTTTTTGCGGTAATTCCTTCCCGTTTTAGTAACTTGTTGCTGTAGTACACTTAACGCGGAAAAAAAATGACAGTGTTAATATTCATGTGTTAAACGTTATCAGCCACTCAGTTGTGACCTAGAAGCCATACCAGGTGTTAAGTTATGTCTTAAAAGGCTATTGATATTAATGGGAACTGCGAGCATCATTTCCACTTGCTGTTGATATTGCCGAACCTTGAGGCATACGAACGTAGTATTCTCTATTTTCCAATTCCCCATAATACACCCTGTTTGCCCCCCAAATTTTGCATAAACCATTGTTTTTAAATGCTCCTGGGAGTATTGCATTTTCCCAAGAGCATTTTAAGACAATACGTTATGCAAAATTTGGGGGGCAGACAGAGTGTATTATGGGGAATTGGAAAATAGTCAATATAACCGACCTCGATACGATTCTAACCTCCCATTAGATCCCGTGGGAAAACCGTCCGACATCTCCTGTGCTCGCTGGCAGTGGCTGGAGAGGGGCGGGACGGGGCGGCTGTGAGTTTGCTGGGTTACAGGGTAGGGGGTGGTAGGGATTCTCATACCAAGTTGGGGATAAAGACACGTTGGTCTCCCACTGTGGGCAGAAGATCAAGAAAACTTGGTTTTGATGCTGTCGGTGGGATTAACTATAGCGACCTTACGATCCGACAACGGCGACATCCATGAAAACGTCGCTGAAAGATAGACTTCGCATCCTTTTAAACTTTTTCGCGATTATCCCAATTCGCCCTGTTATGAAAAAGAAGTGAATTTTGATTGGAGCTGAAGAGAGGGGACCGCGCCCGAATTCAGACAGAGATGGTAGAATTTATCGCCTTGCCGTTCTCGTTCTCAAGCGAACTTAAAATTTGGTCATTTCACGTCGTAGTTGTTCAGGACAGCAAAGAAATGTACAAAAAAAGCGTGATGCACGTGCAGAGTTGTTGTTTTGCTCATTAAACCTATTGCTTTTTTAACGTTCCCGTTGTCGTCGCCGACGTAGTGTCGTAAGGTCCCTTATGAAAAATGGGGGGTGTCAGTGTAATGCTTCATGGTTCTGTTGGCACTTGGTTGAATGGCGTGAAAACAAACGCTAGCCAAGTGTGGGAGGTGGCTTAATATTCATCTACGAAATGCAGTGGGTGCAAAACGCATCCTCACTGTGTGCCTTGCTATGCACGTTCGAAAACGTTCGGTTTTCCTAACATAAAGCTCCGCTTTTTGGTTATTATCATGCTATGAGCATGTCCGTTTGTTATTTTTAATGGATTTAGCGCATCAACCAACACCATGATGCAAACGTTAATAGCATCCATGCATCCTTTGTTGTCTACTCGCCAAATGAAGAATCATTATTTACAATTTTGACCGATTTGCAATATTTAACTAATTACAACACTTAACTTTTAAAGCATACTTCTAATTACAATTCTCATCTAAGAAGCATTTACAAAATCATCTATAAGCTGGTTCCTTAAAAGGTCAGTACAAATAAGTATTTTAAATGAACAGGAAAAGCCTAATTCAGTTTGCCCAGCTCGGTAAGCAATTCGCTTGCCGCTGTGGTCAAATTATGACGTCAATTATAATTCAGTTTGTTCGCCTCGTTGCTCCATTCACCTCGTTAGAGAAAGTAGTGAACTACAGTAGAAAGGTTATCTGTTAAAAACGATTCTGCTGAGTTGATTGTATAGGCCGTTTTGAAACAAATTGTCTTCTCGTGACAAAATTTCATCGATTGTTCGTGGTCCACAGCGACCACAGCCGATTACTGTTTGGGCTCATGGAACGAAAAGCATCCTGGGTTTCGATGGGTTAAAGCGTGTTGAGAAAGAATCATAGACTTTCACTTTCTTAGCGCTCACAAAATTATCGGATGAAAGTTTGGCCGCCATTTTACTTGACTTTACGCGGCGAGGACTGGAACCTGCCAACTGAAACAGCGAAACAAATTTCCCCGGAAAATCGAGTTGTCAGACGCTTTCAAGAAAAAAATGGGTGGCTGCCCTGTGCGGGCAGCAACAATCAAGCAGCTATTTATGATTAACTGGCAAAGACTAAATTTTTACTGACATCTACCCCCCTTCCCCTCTCCAACTACGTGCACCTTTGTGTAATTCAAGTCCAAACTCTTTTTAAGCCACAATCTTTTCATTTTGGTTCAAAACCTGTAGTGTAGGAAGCTTTATCTTGTAACCATCTTTAGGAGGACGGCCCAAACATCAAAAACTTTTAAAAAGAAATAACTAGGTTGAAGGGTTTAACAGGGTCTGCTTGAATCATAGCAGTCAGTCCTGAAATTTTAAGGTGGCTCCTACCTGATATAATTAATTCAATTTGTGAAAAGGTTCATCTTCTTTATAGGCTGATAATACGGTTCTACCCTTAATTAGATGGCTATACATTCTGCACTCAGTGCCCGAGCATTGGAAATTTTGTTTTCCGGAATTCTGATAACTGCTGCCAAATAAGGTGAGTGAGTGAAGGCCTCAGCTTTACATCCCACTCTAACGTCCGTTAATTGCAGTTTTCGGGTCACACTGCAAGGGCAGCTGACAGTTGACTTGATCTTGGCCCTGAATTTCTGATTAACTAAAGCATATACAATTGGGTTAATAGCCGAGTTGAACAAGATCAACGTGCCAGTGGCTATATATGATATATCACTGCTGGTATGGTGAGAGGAAAAAGAGGTTAGGATGAAGCTAATCGTGTCAGCAAGCCAGCATACTCCAAAGATGACACTAACAGTGATAACCATCAAGGTGACTCGCTTTCGTACCCTCAGCACGCCCTGTGGAAGAATAAGTGAAAGAGTGGTGAATTTAAGCACCTGTATTGTTAGCTGTATACAGGGTCTGGAAAGGTACTCTCGGGATCGGGAATTTGCGGGATTCGGGAAAACGCAAAATTTCTGATGTTGACCGGATTTGGACGCCACTCTTAAAGCGGGATTCACCAAAATCTTGGAGATCATGACAGCAGTTTAGGATGCCCGATTGTCGTGAAAAAGGACCGGGAAGTGGGGATTAAACCCCCCTTTCTGACCCTGTATATATACGAGGCTGTCAACCCCAATAAAAGCGCTTCATAAATAGAGCGGACCTGCTTTTTCTCTAGTTTCAGGCAGTTAATTAGAGTAACCCTAGGGTTAGGGTTAACTCCAGCGCACATGATCAAGGCTAGTGAAAATTACATGAGCGCCACTTCGACAAGTCGGAAAATTTTTGCGCTGCAACGGTCCTACGAGTAAAAACGGTACCGGCTTAAGGTGCAGAAGAATGTTTGTTCAAACCTGTTGTAGAGAGATCTCTCTTCCATCATGCACTGCACGTTTGAACCACAAAGTGTACGCGACACGTGAATATAACGTAGTCATGAAAGAAACAGGTAAAATTGCCGTGAAAAGAGACCAAATCACAGAATAGGCCTTCTCCATCCACTCTTCAGGGTGAACGTCGAAGCATTTACCTTCTTTCTCGTCATAATCACCAAACATTAAGGTTGGAATGTTTAAAATCACTCCAACGATCCAAGAGCAAGTTACGATCACCTAAAGAAGAAAAACAAGAAAACAGCTGATGCACATGCGCATTAGATACCATTTTTTAGTAAGACACGCGAAGGGACACGCGTGAATTATTAACAGAAAGCGAGAAGCCCATCCGAAATATCTAAATAAACTTTATGGAGTTGAAATATTTATAAATCAAAGTCGTGATTATAGATCATATGTGCTCATCAGAGCATTCATAGACCATTGAGAATTCACCGATGGACTTGTTCAGGGAAAGCCAAACATCCACGAATACTTCCGAATTCGAAGAATTAGAAGATCGAAGTAGAACAGGGTGAGATATGACACGAAGTCTGAATCAGTCGTCGAAGATTCAAGGTCAAGAAAGATCGATTTTTCAAATATTTGTAACTTGTCTCCATCGATTTTCGGAGTCTTTTTTTCAGCGAGGTTTTCATTGACGTCGCCGTCGTAGTTTCGTAAGGTCCCTGTACGTAGTGCCGTACGTAGACGTACGACATTCCCTAAACGCACCTTCATTTTGCGATCAGTAAGCTTTCCTATGTTCTCATAGGGATGCACCACTGCATAGTAACGTTCAGTTGCTATGGCAACCAATGTGACAACCGAAGCAACAGCTCCGATATAAGCCAAGGCTGCCCCCGTCACCAATCGGCATAATATCGTGCCAGACTCTTCATCTGGGTGAGAAGGCGAGCTGAGAAAAATGAATTGTGGTAGAAAGAACGTGGCAGCGGTCATGTCGGCAACAGCTAAGTTCATGAGAAGGAAGTTAATTGAAGTTCTGGGGGAAATAAGTGAAATAAATTTATTTATTACAGATTTATTACAGATTCACTCCACTACATTACAAGCAAATAATGAAATGAAATAAGCTAACACTACTATAAGAAAAAAAAAGTTGTGGAGAGGGAGACAACCAAAAGCGCCAATGCGCCATACTAGGGATGTCCCCACTAATTAAAATATAAGAAAAATATATACAAATAGAAATATAAATGTTCTAGTTATTCTTAGTAAAGCTTAAAACATTTCTTTTAAAAGTTGCAATGCTGTTTGATTCTCTAATATGACTGGGTAAACCATTCCATTCATCTACAACACGGTTAAAAAAACTATATTTAAAACCATCAGTTCTACTAAAATTTGGAACAAGGTCCTGTGTGTCACTTTTCCTCAAGTTATAACCTGTATTTCTGTCCTTACAAAATATTAGCTTATTTGAAATGTCAATATCATAATGTCCATTAATTACATTAAAAAAAATGTAACACCTCTCGTGAACCTCCTAATAGATAATGACAACAATTTTAGCTTAGATAGTCTAGTATCATAATCATCATCAGACCTAGTGATCCATCTGGTAGCTCTTCGCTGAACAGCCTCCAATTTATCAATGTTACATTTAGTATGAGGGTTCCAACTTTCGCATGAATATTCTAATAAAGGTCTCACAAGACTACAATAAAGTCTGTTCATGGTATCAATATCCTTTAAATATCGGCAGGAGAAAGATAAAGACATTATTCGTGAAAGATATTTGTCGACTCGGACACAAATGTTCTTTTTTTCTCTGTGTGTGGTACCCGTTGATCTGCCGATATGTGTCGCTGAAACAGCTTTAAACGACAGTTTAAACAGGGTACAACCCTGTTCCCAGGGGTCTCTCCTACTCGTCGTAGGAGAGAACCCTGGGAACATGGTTGAACAGGGTATATACTTTTACTATTGACAGGATGTCTTTGAGAACGAAGGCCCTTGAACAGTGCAGGGTCAACTTTGGCAGACCGCGCAGTTTACATTTACCGTACCAACGTGGTACCAACGCTTTTTAAAAATCTACCATGTTAATTTAAAAAATACTTAATTCGGTAAGCGAAATGAAACGAATAAGGGTCATAAATAACAGTCGCTGCGTCTCAGGGTAGCAAAATCAGAATGGTTTTTGCCAGTTTCAGTTGAACGCCCCAGCGGCACACCCTACCAAGTCAGTGGTCACAGTGGTTTAACGAAGAAAGCTGTTTGCAGGTCTCAAGGCACACATACCTCATGTCTTGGTTTTTTATTATAACTGCGCACACCAGCGAGTTCCCGCCGATGTTCAAGATGACCAAAAAGCACTGCAACGTTGTTATGGCGATCTGTGATGCTTTAGAACCCGTGAAAACATACATAGCTTTCGAAGTTAGGTCGATTCCCACTTAACAGTTTTGTTAAGTTCAAATGATTCTTTTCGATCGAAAGGTCCCCAGCCTTGACAATCCCATCCCTTCTGGACAGCGTTGAATCTTCCGGACTTTTCTAAGTGAAGACGAAAAGGAACTGGTAGCCTGCTTCGACTCTTCCCTTGGTGACAAACTTTTTTTGCTACTGTCTGTTAAAGCGAAAAAACCACTGCTCACCCAGTAACAGCTAGATGAAAGTTTTATTTTGCGTTATTTTCTTTAAAATAATTATCAAATGTTTTCTTTTAAAAATCCCCTGCGGATTTGTTTATTTTGTTTCAACAGGGAATCTTAAATTGTTATCTTTCATGTTGTTGGCGTCTGTTTTCCTTACTGGTTTCATGCCAAATAGAGTCAGCATCCCATGAAGTGAAAGAAATTGTAATATAGCCACATTTTTTTGAAATTTAAGTAAGATTTTTATAGCATTTTACTTTTAAACGCAACAAAGACTAATATGTCAGTAACTTCCTCACTTATTTATCTTTAATTTTCCAATCTTTGTCCCGGGGGGTACTCAACAAAGTTTTATACGGGGAGTGTCGGCCCTGAGGTCCAACCCCTTACCCTTTTAGTACCATTTTTGAAAGATAATGAACCCCTTTCATATACCACCCATTGACAAATGGTACCCCCTTCACGTACCTACGTAGTTTAGGTTGCTGCATTTCTTACAACTGCTGTAAATGCAATGTCTTTTGATTAGGGATAAGTCATCAAACCAGGAAATTTCTCAACTTTTTCACAGCCATAAAATCCTTCTGTTGGTCCTTTTAGTTCCTCAGTCAATCTGTCATTTTGGTCTGCAAAGTATGCTTACCAAAATGACAGATTTTCCTACCTTTTCATATATGAAAGGGTAGGAACCCGTTTCGAGACTCTTGTTGACGAATATACAAAGCGACAGAGAAGTGACGTACCTAAACAGATAAACCACAGATTTGGGAAAGGATATCTGAAGGATATCCTTGTTATATATTACCTTGGATTGTCTTGCCGGCTGCCTTAGTAAGAATACCTTAATGAAGGTGTCCCCGATTAGTAACCTACGTGTAGCCAGCTAGAAGATATGACACGTCAATTAACTGAAGTAGTTTAGTTCAGTTCAAGTAGATTCATAAGCAGCCCAGCGGATTATCAAAACGATTCCAGTTGACCGAAATTACAGAATTGGCCGGCGCAGATGCACTGGAGGCATGCACCTGTTTTCGATTGTTAAACACCCCCTGTCACCTTTTTTTCGCGAAAAACCGCAAGAGAGTCGCCAACACCAGATTACATGCCGCTAATTTTTAAAAATACTCTGTTTATTCAACCTTTAAACAGCTAAAAACTTCTCGCCTAATAATATTGATTAAACAAAAAAACAAGGAAACATGTCATTGCGCCCATTATATTGGGTTCAAGACAAATTTGACGCACTTTTTCACACTTCTTTCTGTGAAGACACAGACATTAATTAAAAGTGGAAAATCAGTCATGCAGGTTCGGTTTAATTACGAGTGAGCAGTTACCTTTGACAGCCATATTTAACAATTATATTGAATTTGGTATGATGTGAATAATTACGCAGATCGAAGAGAATGTTATCCACTGACCCCGTCCTCGAAGACTTTCTATTGGCACAGTTTCAGGATATAAACAGGTTCTTTTTTTCCTGTAGATACATGTACTCCTCATAAAGTAGATAACATCTATCGAACAACATGTTTAGCGTTTTCTTCCATTATCCGTTATCTTCCGTTATCAGTTTTAGTCAGAAATTCAGCTATTTCGCTATTTCTTAGTTCTCGCGTGTAAATAAACAGCTAGGCGGCTGCGCCTGGAAACGAGGTTGACCGATGTATGTTGTCTAAGCAGCCTCGTTTCCAGTCAAATATACAATCAAATCAATGTTTGCATCTTCCAAATTTGGTCAACGCCAGCTGGTTATGAAGAATTAGCCGGGGGATTTTAGCCAGTCAGAAAGGTAGGTGCTCGGCCTTTGATATGGAAATCATTTTTCATTCTCATGCAAATAAAACTCATTTTCACAAGAAAGGTTGTGTACCTAGCCTCATTTTGAAAGTGAGGGTTTTTGGAACTCGGAAGTGGCCTATTGCACAAGGATGTTGCCTCCTGACCTGCATAACGAGCTCTGAGTTTATCACGAACACGAAGCTAGTGTGTGATTTTAATGATCGGCTTTTTTCAGCAGTTGCAACGGGGACAGGACACGCGACGCCTTCTGGGTCACCTGTGCGTCATTTTGTCTTTTTTCGACTAAGGCAAAACGTAATTTTTGATTGAGCTTTGCCACAAGCGTCACAGGCAGCCGTTTGAAGATTTGGATACTCACCCAGATTCCTCAAGCGCTCTTTAGAAGATATTTTCAAAACATCATAACTCTCTTATTACGTTTGGTTTAAATATTGCGCCCTTAGTGAAAAGAGTAAAGCTTACGATAAGAAAAGAACAATTCTGCGTACAATAAAATTTGATGCACGTTGAGAACTGTTTATTATTTAACAAAACTACTTAAGATACTTAATTAAAACCTTAACTTATCACATGGAGTGTAAGACATAGGGCCGGTTACTGCAATTTTCCAGTACAGTTACATGCAGTTACACTGTCAATACTACCTGGTAAATGCCAATTGTCTTTACACTTATATTACGATCTGGCAAATATCCATTGTTTTGACAGACTATTAATACTGTCGAGTGACTGTCCTCTGGCTTAAAAATTATATTGATGCTGTCGGGTGAATACCCACTGTCCTTGCAACATTAAAACTGCAGGGCAGAATGCATGCCCACTGTCTTTACAATATTAATACTGTCGGTTGAATGCCCTCTGTCTTAACGATATCGGTACTGTTGGGTGAAAGCCCTCTGTGACTGTCGAGTGAATGTCCACTGTCTTTACAATATTATTAATACTTGTTGGGTGTCAATGCCCACCACCGTCCTTACAGCATCAACACTGCCAAATGAATGCCTACTGTCTTTAAAATGTTAATACCACTGCCGGGTAAATGCCACTGTCGCAAGAGCATTGATACTGTCGGTTGAATCATGCCCACTGTCTTTACAATATCAATACTACTGGGTGAATCAGCCATCGTGTTAACAACATTAATACTGCCTGGTAAATGCTCTTTGTGTTGTCGGGTGAATGCCCTGTCTTAACAATATCGATACTGTTGGGTGAATGCCCTCTGTCTTAGCAATAATGCCCAATAGAAAGGTTTTCTGTTAAAAATGATTCTGCTGAGTTGATTGTCTAGGCCGTTTTGAAACAAATTGTCTTCTCGTGACAAAATTTCATCGATTGTGTTCGTGGTCCACAGCGATAAACAGCCGATTACTGTTTGGGCTCATGGAACGAAAAGCATCCTGGGTGTCAGTGGGTTAATGCGGGTTGAGAAAGAATCATAGACTTTCACTTTCTTAGCGCTCAAAGTTTGGCCGCCATTTTACTTGACTTTACACGGCGGGGACTGGAACCTACTAACTGAAACAGCGAAACAAACTTCCCCGGAAAATCGAGTTGTCAGACGCTTTCAAGACAAAAATAAGTGGCTGCCCTGTGCGGGCAGCAACAATCAAGCAGCTATTTATAATTAACTGGCAAAGACCAAATTTTTACTGACATTTACCTTCCTCCCCCTCTCCACCTACGTGCACCTTTATGTAATTCAAGTCCAAACTCTTTTTAAGCCACAATCTTTTCATTTTGGTTCAAAACCTGTAGTATAGAAAGCTTTATCTTGTAAGCATCCTTTAAGAGGACGGCCCAAACATCAAAAACTTTTTAAAAGAAATATCTAGGTTGAAGGGTTTAACAGGGTCTGCTTGAATCATAGCAGGCAGTCCTGAAATTTTAAGGTGGCTCCTACTTGATATAATTAATTCAATTTGTGAAAAGGTTCATCTTCTTTATAGGCTGATATTACGGTTCTACCCTTAATTAGATGGCTATACATTCTGCACTCAGTGCCCGGGCATTGGAAATTTTGTTTTCCGGAATCCTGATAACTGCTGCCAAATAAGGTGAGTGAGTGAAGGCCTCAGCTTGACATCCCACTCGAACGTCCGTTAATTGCAGTTTTCGGGTCACACTGCAAGGGCAGCTGACAGTTGACTTGATCTTGGCCCTGAATTTCTGGTTAACTAAAGCATATACAATTGGGTTAATAGCCGAGTTGAACAAGATCAACGTGCTAGTGGCGATATATGACATATCACTACTGGCATAGTGAGAGGAAAAGGAGGTTAGGATCCAGCTTATAGCGTCAGCAAGCCAGCATACTCCAAAGATGACACTAACAGTGATAACCATCAAGGTGACTCGCTTTCGTACCCTCAGCACGCCCTGTGGAAGAATAGGTAAAAGAGTGGTGAATTCAAGCACCTGTATTGTTCGCTGTATACAGGGTCGGGAAGGGTACCCTCGGGATCCCGAATTTGAGCGAAACATAATGCGGGATTCGGGAAAACGCAAAATTTATGTTGTTGACGGGATTTGGACGCTGTACTGTCGCAATTTGTAATAATCATCGCACTTTGTAATACCTGTCGCAATTTGTAATAAATCCATCGCACTTTGTTATACCCGTCGCAATTTGTAATAAATCGTGTCGCAATTTGTAATGAAAAAGCTCTCGCAATTTGTAATAACAGTCCATCGCACTTTGTAATAAACTAAGCTGTCGCAATTTGTAATAATTCCATCGCACTTTGTAATAATTTTTTGAGAGTGATTCAACTTACTTCGTCAACATTAATATAATGCCAAAATATGCATGGTACTTCATAAACAAAGATGATGACGTCTGCTAGCATGTAACATGTTCGAAACATTTTCTTTGGTCAAACAAGCATATCACCAAAAAGATATGAATCACGTTTAAATTCAAAAATATTTAAATAAGAAAGGAAACATTTAACAACAGAAAATTCATGAATAACCTGGCATTCGTCGTCCAAATCCATGTTTGCTTGCCACGTGACACGTGAAGTCTTCGGAGGAGGGGGGGGGGATAATCCCATATATGGATGGGCTAGATAGGTAAGTACCGCCTGATAGGGTATGGTTTTTGAGGATCTCGAGCCTTTAATAGGGTATCATTTTTTGCGTTGTTGGCCTTGTGTCTTTGGTTTGATCCTTAGATAGGGTAACTCAAGTAGTAATGGATGGTTTATTCCATCCTTTCCATTTTGTAAAAAAACAGTAATCCAGAACACGCTCGGAAGAATTGCAAGGTCTTACGAGTTGTATATACGCAGGGAAGGATAATTTTTTACCATCCCCATGGTATTTGCTTTAGAGGACTCCTTACAGAAAACAATTGTTTTAAGACGGAATGAGTACTCCTTTTGTTCCTATATGGGACCAAATCAAGTGAGAATAATGGACCAAATGCCCAGCCGGCTCAGTGTAAGACCCCAAGTGAGTGTTATAAAAACAGGTACATACGAAGGTATTGGCCACCGACTAATTGGATTTTGTGTTTAGGTTTCTGTTGTGGTTCGAAGGTTTGCCACTAGTGACGTTTTGTTTTATTTCCAGTAAACATTTTGAATCTTTCCAGGAATCGTTTGATTAAGTTGGCCAAAATATGGAAGCCACTATTACTTCTTTAAGATTGCTCGTTAGACAAGAACGGTGTACCACGTGATGTGTCAACCTGTTATAAGATCTAACAAGAAAAGCTTGAACTCTAGCTCCTGGTGTCCTTATTCGAATGATGTAGGATGGATATTACTATTAGCGGAAATTAAATGCTTTTTAATAATGGCTTGTTTGTGTCTAGTGTGTCTAGCTCTGTCTAGATCCTCTACTCTGGCAATGCTCTGTCCAGAGGCACATCCCCGAATTGGCCATATAAGGAAGTACACCCACCGGGTAACCATTGAATGCAAGCCACCTAGTACAATAGCAAGGTTCAAGAATACAGCATTTCGTAAGTCAGATGACTAATCAACATTAATCTAAAAAAATGTTTAGGACTGTGAATAAAGTTAAATGTTTGAATGAGCGGAGATGTTACGTGCTAGCAGACGTCATCTCCATCTTTGTTTATGAAGTTCCATGCATATTTTGGCGTTATATTAATGTTGACGAAGTAAGTTTAATTACTCTTAAAAAGTTATTACAAAGTGCGATGGAATTATTACAAATTGCGACAGCTTAGTTTATTACAAAGTGCGATGGACAGTTGTTACAAATTGCGACAGCTTTTTTATTACAAAGTGCGACACGGTTTATTACAAATACATTTTTTTGAAATTTAAGTAAGATTTTTATAGCATTTTACTTTTAAACGCAACAAAGACTAATATGTCAGTAACTTCCTCACTTATTTATCTTTAATTTTCCAATCTTTGTCCCGGGGGGTACTCAACAAAGTTTTATACGGGGAGTGTCGGCCCTGAGGTCCAACCCCTTACCCTTTTAGTACCATTTTTGAAAGATAATGAACCCCTTTCATATACCACCCATTGACAAATGGTACCCCCTTCACGTACCTACGTAGTTTAGGTTGCTGCATTTCTTACAACTGCTGTAAATGCAATGTCTTTTGATTAGGGATAAGTCATCAAACCAGGAAATTTCTCAACTTTTTCACAGCCATAAAATCCTTCTGTTGGTCCTTTTAGTTCCTCAGTCAATCTGTCATTTTGGTCTGCAAAGTATGCTTACCAAAATGACAGATTTTCCTACCTTTTCATATATGAAAGGGTAGGAACCCGTTTCGAGACTCTTGTTGACGAATATACAAAGCGACAGAGAAGTGACGTACCTAAACAGATAAACCACAGATTTGGGAAAGGATATCTGAAGGATATCCTTGTTATATATTACCTTGGATTGTCTTGCCGGCTGCCTTAGTAAGAATACCTTAATGAAGGTGTCCCCGATTAGTAACCTACGTGTAGCCAGCTAGAAGATATGACACGTCAATTAACTGAAGTAGTTTAGTTCAGTTCAAGTAGATTCATAAGCAGCCCAGCGGATTATCAAAACGATTCCAGTTGACCGAAATTACAGAATTGGCCGGCGCAGATGCACTGGAGGCATGCACCTGTTTTCGATTGTTAAACACCCCCTGTCACCTTTTTTTCGCGAAAAACCGCAAGAGAGTCGCCAACACCAGATTACATGCCGCTAATTTTTAAAAATACTCTGTTTATTCAACCTTTAAACAGCTAAAAACTTCTCGCCTAATAATATTGATTAAACAAAAAAACAAGGAAACATGTCATTGCGCCCATTATATTGGGTTCAAGACAAATTTGACGCACTTTTTCACACTTCTTTCTGTGAAGACACAGACATTAATTAAAAGTGGAAAATCAGTCATGCAGGTTCGGTTTAATTACGAGTGAGCAGTTACCTTTGACAGCCATATTTAACAATTATATTGAATTTGGTATGATGTGAATAATTACGCAGATCGAAGAGAATGTTATCCACTGACCCCGTCCTCGAAGACTTTCTATTGGCACAGTTTCAGGATATAAACAGGTTCTTTTTTTCCTGTAGATACATGTACTCCTCATAAAGTAGATAACATCTATCGAACAACATGTTTAGCGTTTTCTTCCATTATCCGTTATCTTCCGTTATCAGTTTTAGTCAGAAATTCAGCTATTTCGCTATTTCTTAGTTCTCGCGTGTAAATAAACAGCTAGGCGGCTGCGCCTGGAAACGAGGTTGACCGATGTATGTTGTCTAAGCAGCCTCGTTTCCAGTCAAATATACAATCAAATCAATGTTTGCATCTTCCAAATTTGGTCAACGCCAGCTGGTTATGAAGAATTAGCCGGGGGATTTTAGCCAGTCAGAAAGGTAGGTGCTCGGCCTTTGATATGGAAATCATTTTTCATTCTCATGCAAATAAAACTCATTTTCACAAGAAAGGTTGTGTACCTAGCCTCATTTTGAAAGTGAGGGTTTTTGGAACTCGGAAGTGGCCTATTGCACAAGGATGTTGCCTCCTGACCTGCATAACGAGCTCTGAGTTTATCACGAACACGAAGCTAGTGTGTGATTTTAATGATCGGCTTTTTTCAGCAGTTGCAACGGGGACAGGACACGCGACGCCTTCTGGGTCACCTGTGCGTCATTTTGTCTTTTTTCGACTAAGGCAAAACGTAATTTTTGATTGAGCTTTGCCACAAGCGTCACAGGCAGCCGTTTGAAGATTTGGATACTCACCCAGATTCCTCAAGCGCTCTTTAGAAGATATTTTCAAAACATCATAACTCTCTTATTACGTTTGGTTTAAATATTGCGCCCTTAGTGAAAAGAGTAAAGCTTACGATAAGAAAAGAACAATTCTGCGTACAATAAAATTTGATGCACGTTGAGAACTGTTTATTATTTAACAAAACTACTTAAGATACTTAATTAAAACCTTAACTTATCACATGGAGTGTAAGACATAGGGCCGGTTACTGCAATTTTCCAGTACAGTTACATGCAGTTACACTGTCAATACTACCTGGTAAATGCCAATTGTCTTTACACTTATATTACGATCTGGCAAATATCCATTGTTTTGACAGACTATTAATACTGTCGAGTGACTGTCCTCTGGCTTAAAAATTATATTGATGCTGTCGGGTGAATACCCACTGTCCTTGCAACATTAAAACTGCAGGGCAGAATGCATGCCCACTGTCTTTACAATATTAATACTGTCGGTTGAATGCCCTCTGTCTTAACGATATCGGTACTGTTGGGTGAAAGCCCTCTGTGACTGTCGAGTGAATGTCCACTGTCTTTACAATATTATTAATACTTGTTGGGTGTCAATGCCCACCACCGTCCTTACAGCATCAACACTGCCAAATGAATGCCTACTGTCTTTAAAATGTTAATACCACTGCCGGGTAAATGCCACTGTCGCAAGAGCATTGATACTGTCGGTTGAATCATGCCCACTGTCTTTACAATATCAATACTACTGGGTGAATCAGCCATCGTGTTAACAACATTAATACTGCCTGGTAAATGCTCTTTGTGTTGTCGGGTGAATGCCCTGTCTTAACAATATCGATACTGTTGGGTGAATGCCCTCTGTCTTAGCAATAATGCCCAATAGAAAGGTTTTCTGTTAAAAATGATTCTGCTGAGTTGATTGTCTAGGCCGTTTTGAAACAAATTGTCTTCTCGTGACAAAATTTCATCGATTGTGTTCGTGGTCCACAGCGATAAACAGCCGATTACTGTTTGGGCTCATGGAACGAAAAGCATCCTGGGTGTCAGTGGGTTAATGCGGGTTGAGAAAGAATCATAGACTTTCACTTTCTTAGCGCTCAAAGTTTGGCCGCCATTTTACTTGACTTTACACGGCGGGGACTGGAACCTACTAACTGAAACAGCGAAACAAACTTCCCCGGAAAATCGAGTTGTCAGACGCTTTCAAGACAAAAATAAGTGGCTGCCCTGTGCGGGCAGCAACAATCAAGCAGCTATTTATAATTAACTGGCAAAGACCAAATTTTTACTGACATTTACCTTCCTCCCCCTCTCCACCTACGTGCACCTTTATGTAATTCAAGTCCAAACTCTTTTTAAGCCACAATCTTTTCATTTTGGTTCAAAACCTGTAGTATAGAAAGCTTTATCTTGTAAGCATCCTTTAAGAGGACGGCCCAAACATCAAAAACTTTTTAAAAGAAATATCTAGGTTGAAGGGTTTAACAGGGTCTGCTTGAATCATAGCAGGCAGTCCTGAAATTTTAAGGTGGCTCCTACTTGATATAATTAATTCAATTTGTGAAAAGGTTCATCTTCTTTATAGGCTGATATTACGGTTCTACCCTTAATTAGATGGCTATACATTCTGCACTCAGTGCCCGGGCATTGGAAATTTTGTTTTCCGGAATCCTGATAACTGCTGCCAAATAAGGTGAGTGAGTGAAGGCCTCAGCTTGACATCCCACTCGAACGTCCGTTAATTGCAGTTTTCGGGTCACACTGCAAGGGCAGCTGACAGTTGACTTGATCTTGGCCCTGAATTTCTGGTTAACTAAAGCATATACAATTGGGTTAATAGCCGAGTTGAACAAGATCAACGTGCTAGTGGCGATATATGACATATCACTACTGGCATAGTGAGAGGAAAAGGAGGTTAGGATCCAGCTTATAGCGTCAGCAAGCCAGCATACTCCAAAGATGACACTAACAGTGATAACCATCAAGGTGACTCGCTTTCGTACCCTCAGCACGCCCTGTGGAAGAATAGGTAAAAGAGTGGTGAATTCAAGCACCTGTATTGTTCGCTGTATACAGGGTCGGGAAGGGTACCCTCGGGATCCCGAATTTGAGCGAAACATAATGCGGGATTCGGGAAAACGCAAAATTTATGTTGTTGACGGGATTTGGACGCTGTACTGTCGCAATTTGTAATAATCATCGCACTTTGTAATACCTGTCGCAATTTGTAATAAATCCATCGCACTTTGTTATACCCGTCGCAATTTGTAATAAATCGTGTCGCAATTTGTAATGAAAAAGCTCTCGCAATTTGTAATAACAGTCCATCGCACTTTGTAATAAACTAAGCTGTCGCAATTTGTAATAATTCCATCGCACTTTGTAATAATTTTTTGAGAGTGATTCAACTTACTTCGTCAACATTAATATAATGCCAAAATATGCATGGTACTTCATAAACAAAGATGATGACGTCTGCTAGCATGTAACATGTTCGAAACATTTTCTTTGGTCAAACAAGCATATCACCAAAAAGATATGAATCACGTTTAAATTCAAAAATATTTAAATAAGAAAGGAAACATTTAACAACAGAAAATTCATGAATAACCTGGCATTCGTCGTCCAAATCCATGTTTGCTTGCCACGTGACACGTGAAGTCTTCGGAGGAGGGGGGGGGGATAATCCCATATATGGATGGGCTAGATAGGTAAGTACCGCCTGATAGGGTATGGTTTTTGAGGATCTCGAGCCTTTAATAGGGTATCATTTTTTGCGTTGTTGGCCTTGTGTCTTTGGTTTGATGCTTAGATAGGGTAACTCAAGTAGTAATGGATGGTTTATTCCATCCTTTCCATTTTGTAAAAAAACAGTAATCCAGAACACGCTCGGAAGAATTGCAAGGTCTTACGAGTTGTATATACGCAGGGAAGGATAATTTTTTACCATCCCCATGGTATTTGCTTTAGAGGACTCCTTACAGAAAACAATTGTTTTAAGACGGAATGAGTACTCCTTTTGTTCCTATATGGGACCAAATCAAGTGAGAATAATGGACCAAATGCCCAGCCGGCTCAGTGTAAGACCCCAAGTGAGTGTTATAAAAACAGGTACATACGAAGGTATTGGCCACCGACTAATTGGATTTTGTGTTTAGGTTTCTGTTGTGGTTCGAAGGTTTGCCACTAGTGACGTTTTGTTTTATTTCCAGTAAACATTTTGAATCTTTCCAGGAATCGTTTGATTAAGTTGGCCAAAATATGGAAGCCACTATTACTTCTTTAAGATTGCTCGTTAGACAAGAACGGTGTACCACGTGATGTGTCAACCTGTTATAAGATCTAACAAGAAAAGCTTGAACTCTAGCTCCTGGTGTCCTTATTCGAATGATGTAGGATGGATATTACTATTAGCGGAAATTAAATGCTTTTTAATAATGGCTTGTTTGTGTCTAGTGTGTCTAGCTCTGTCTAGATCCTCTACTCTGGCAATGCTCTGTCCAGAGGCACATCCCCGAATTGGCCATATAAGGAAGTACACCCACCGGGTAACCATTGAATGCAAGCCACCTAGTACAATAGCAAGGTTCAAGAATACAGCATTTCGTAAGTCAGATGACTAATCAACATTAATCTAAAAAAATGTTTAGGACTGTGAATAAAGTTAAATGTTTGAATGAGCGGAGATGTTACGTGCTAGCAGACGTCATCTCCATCTTTGTTTATGAAGTTCCATGCATATTTTGGCGTTATATTAATGTTGACGAAGTAAGTTTAATTACTCTTAAAAAGTTATTACAAAGTGCGATGGAATTATTACAAATTGCGACAGCTTAGTTTATTACAAAGTGCGATGGACAGTTGTTACAAATTGCGACAGCTTTTTTATTACAAAGTGCGACACGGTTTATTACAAATTGCGACAGGTATTACAAAGTGCGATGGATTTATTACAAATCGCGACAGGTATTACAAAGTGCGATGATTATTACAAATTGCGACAGTACAGACGCCTCCCTGGAAGCGGGATTCACCTTTTCCGGAGAGATTTTCTACAGGTGGACCCATCCCGGTGTCCCTGCAACCGCGCGGTCAGGTCATTTAGCCTCACGGGACGGCTTATGACTTTTACACGACCGGGTAAGGATAGGATCGACATAACCGAAAAATTGAGGTTGTTAACCAAAAAATCCGGTTGGAAAGTAAGCGCAACATCCCTTTTTGAGTTGCAGCGGAAAATTTACGGGAACAACGGCCATCTGTGAAAGTAGTCCTGTTTTTCCGGATGGAATATTCCAAGCAGAAATTCGAGTACCATCCGTTGAAACCCATCTTTGATACCAGTTCCAGGCTTTCGCGACCGTTTTTACGTAAAGGAACTGATTTGTGAAAATGGTTAACACGATTCCGGAACGAAATTTACCAGTCCTGGATTTTGCGTACCATTCACCCAAACCGTGAACCAACCGGTTTTCCCATGCGATGGAGTACGATGTTTTTCACAAACAAAACGTTTCACATGAGCGCCGCTCCGACAAGTCGGAAAGTAAGGACCTTACGAAACTACGATGGCGACGGCAACAGGAACGTCAAAAAAGCAATAGGTTTAATGAGCAAAATAGCAACTCTGCACGTGCATCACGCTTTTTTGTACATTTCTTTGCCGTCCCTTCATAACTAGGACGTGAAATGACCAAATTTTAAGTTTACTTGGGAACGGGAACGGCAAGGCGATAAATTCTACCATCTCTGTCAGAACTCGGGCGCGGTCCCTTCTCTTCAGCTTTAACCAAAATTCTCTTCTTTTAAGTAACTGGGCCCCTTGAAATAATCGCGAAAAAAAGCAAAAGGGTGCGAAGTCTATTTTCAGTGAGGTTTTCATGGAGGTCACCTTTGTCGGATCGTAAAGTCCCTATTTTCGCGCTGCAACGGTCCTTCGAGTAAAAACGGTACCGGCTCAAGGTGCAGAAGAAGTTTTGTTCAAACCTGTTGTAGAGAGATCTCTCTTCCATCATGCACTGCTCGTTTGAACCACAAAGTGTATGCGACACGTGAATATAACGTAATCATGAAAGAAACAGGTAAAACTGCCGTGAACAGAGACCAAATCACAGAATAGGCCTTCTCCATCCACTCTTGAGGGTGAACGTCAATGCAATCACCTTCTTTCTCGTCATAAACACCAAACATTAAGGTTGGAATGTTTAAAATCACTCCAAAGATCCAAGAGCAAGTTACGGTCAACTAAAAAAGGAAAACAAAAACAAAAACAAACAAAAAAATAAAACAGTCAAAGGGACACAGTCAGCTGATGCACATGCGCATTGGATACTATTTTTTAGCTAACGGATACGCGAAAGGACATGCTTGAGTTATAAACAGAAAGTGAGAAGACCATCTGGAATATATTTTACAAATATTTGTAAGTTGTCTCCATCGATTTTCCAAATATCTATAACGAAGATTTGCTCTGAAATGTTATTGCTTCATTTCTCTTATTATTTTGGTAAACGAAGGCGATTTCTCCAGCCTGGCGCCTCCACGTTTCCCACCTCTTCTTTTCATGCTTCTATGGATACTGTGTTTAACCAATTCAATGGTATGAGAAAAAGTCTGTTCAAAAAGAGGTAATCAGTAAAACATAGAGGATCGAATGAAACGCTAGGCAAGATTGAAGCGGATTTCTAGATGTATCCGACGCGTACATTTGATTTCGGGTTGAGGTAACCGCTTTCCAAATTCACTGGGAAAAGTAGTTTCTCCAACTTAAATTCCCTTCTTTTAAGTAACTGGGAAACTTGGGATAATCGCGAAATGGCTTAAAAGGATGTGGAGTATTTTTTTCAGCGAGGTTTTCATTGACGTCGCCGTCGTAGTTTCGTAGTTTAGTTTCGTCCCTGTACGTATTGCCCGTGCTTTTTTTCGCAGACCTCGGAGGCATGTGTAACCGCCAAGAGGGAGACTACATCTAGGCATCCCGCGCTTCTTGCCCTTTTACGCTACTACCAGACGTACGACATTCGCTAAACGCACCTTCATTTTGCGATCAGTAAGCTTTCCTATGTTCTCATAGGGATGCACCACTGCATAGTAACGTTCAGTTGCTATGGCAACCATTGTGGCAACCGAAGCAACAGCTCCGATGTAAGCTATGGTGCCCCCCGTCACCAATCGGCATAATATCTTGCCAGACTCTCCATCTGGGTGAGCAGAGGAGCTGAGAAAAATGAATTGTGGTAGAAAGAACGTGGCAGCAGTCATGTCGGCAACAGCTAAGTTCATGAGAAGGAAGTTAATTGAAGTTCTGGGGGAAATAAGTGAAATAAATGCGATCAGCAGGAGAAAGATAAAGACATTATTCGTGAAAGATATTTGTCGACTCGGTCACAAATGTTCCTTTTTTTCTCTCTGTGTGGTACCCGATAAGTGTCGGTAAAACAGCTTTAAACTGCAGTTTAAACAGGGTAAAACCCTGTTCCCAGGGTTCTCTCCTTCTCGTCGTAGGAGAGAAGCCTGGGAACGAGGTTGAACAGGGTATATACTTTTACTATTGACAGGATGTCTTTGAGAACGAAGGCCCTTGAACAGTGCAGGGTCAACTTTGGCAGACCGCGCAGTCTACATTTACCGTACCAACGTGGTACCAACGCTTTTTACAAATCTAATCCTACCATGTTAATTTAAAAAATACTTAATTCGGTAAGCGAAATGAAACGAATAAGGGTCATAAAAAATAGTCGCTGAGTCTCAGGGTAGCAAAATCAGAATGGTTTTTGCCAGTTTCAGTTGAAGGCCTCAGGGGCACCCCCCTACCAAATCAGTGGTCACAGTGGTTTCACGAAGAAAGCTGTTTGCAGATCTTAAGGCACACATACCTCATGTCTTGGTTCTTTATTATAACTGCGCACACCAGCGAGTTCCCGCCGATGTTCAAGATGACCAAAAAGCACTGCAACGTTGTTATGGCGATCTGTGATGCTTTAGAACCCGTGAAAACATACATAGCTTTCGAAGTTAGGTCGATTCCCACTTAACAGTTTTGTTAAGTTCAAATGATTCTTTTCGATCGAAAGGTCCCCAGCCTTGACAATCCCATCCCTTCTGGACAGCGTTGAATCTTCCGGACTTTTCTAAGTGAAGACGGAAAGGAACTGGTAGCCTGCTTCGACTCTTCCCTTGGTGACAAACTTTTTTTGCTACTGCCTGTTAAGGCGAGAAAACCGCGGCTCACCCAGTAACAGTTAGATGAAAGTTTTCATTTTGCGTTATTTTTTTTAAAATAATTATCAAATGTTTTCTTGTAAAAAAGCCCCTGCGGATTTGTTTATTTTGTTTCAGCAGGGAACCTTAAATTGTCATCTTTCATGTTGTTGGCGTCTGTTTTCCTTACTGGTTTCATGCCAAATAGAGTCAGCATCCCATGAAGTGAAAGAAACTGTACTTTAGCCACATTTTTTTGAAATTTAAGTAAGATTTTTATAGCATTTTACTTTTAAACGCAACAAAGACTAATATGTCAGTAACTTCCTCACTTATTTATCTTTAATTTTCCAATCTTTGTCCCGGGGGGTACTCAACAGAGTTTTATACGGGGAGTGTCGGCCCTGAGGTCCAACCCCTTACCCTTTTAGTACCATTTTTGACAGATAATGTACCCCTTTCGTATTCCACCCATTGACAAATGGTACCCCCTTTACGTACCTTTGTAGTTTAGATTACTGCATTCCTTACAACTGCTGTAAATGCAATGTCTTTTGATCATGGATAAATCATCAAACCAGGAAATTTTCTCCACTTTTTCACAGCCATGAAAACCTTCCGTTGGTTCTTTTAGTTCCTCAGTCAATCTGTCATTTTGGTCTGCCAAGTATGCTTACCAAAATGACAGATTTTCCTACCCTTTCATATACCCGTTTCGATTCCGTATAAGCCATTTTACGGATTACCCCCCTCCCCAACCCGGAACCCTTGTTGACGCATATACAAAGCGACAGAGAAGTGACGTACCTAAACAGATAAACCACAGATTTAGGAAAGGATATCTGAAGGATATCCTTGTTTTATATTACCTTGGATTGTCTTGCCGGCTGCCTTTGTAAGAATACCTTAATGAAGGTGTCCCCGATTAGTAGCCTACGTGGAGCCAGCTAGAAGATATGACACGTCAATTAACAGAAGTAGTTTAGTTCAGTTCAAGTAGATTCATAAGCAGCCCAGCGGATTATCAAAACGATTCCAGTTGACCGAAATTACAGAATTGGCCGGCGCAGATGCACTGGAGGCATGCACCTGTTTTCGATCGTCAAGCACCCCCTGTCACCTTTTTTTCGCGAAATACCGCAGGAGAGTCGCCAACACCAGATTACACGCCGCTAATTTTTAAAAATACTCTTTTTATTCAAGCTTAAACAGCCAAAAACTTTTCGTGTAATAATATTGATTAAACAAAAACAGCATGTAAACATGTCATTGCGCCCATTATATTGGTTCAAGACATATTTGACGCACTCTTTCACACTTTTTTCTGTGAAAACACAGACATTAATTAAAAGTGGAAAATCAATCACGCAGGTTCGGTTTAATTACGAGTGAGCAGTTACCTTTGACAGCCATATTTAACAATTATATTGAATTTGGTATGATGTGAATAATTACGCAGATCGAAGAGAATGTTATCCACTGACCCCGTCCTCGAAGACTTTTTATTGGCACAGTTTCAGGATATAAACAGGTTCTTTTTTTGCTGTAGATATATGTACTCCTCATAAAGTAGATAACATCTATCGAACAACATGTTTAGCGTTTTCTTCCATTATCTGTTACCTTCCGTTTTCAGTTTTAGTCAGAAATTCAGCTATTTCGCTATTTCTTAGTTCTCGCGTGTAAATAAACAGCTAGGCGGCTGCGCCTGGAAACGAGGTTGACCGATGTATGTTGTCTAAGCAGCCTCGTTTCCAGTCAAATATACAATCAAATCAATGTTTGCATCTTCCAAATTTGGTCAACGCCAGCTGGTTATGAAGAATTAGCCGGGGGATTTTAGCCAGTCAGAAAGGTAGGTGCTCGGCCTTTGATATGGAAATCATTTTTCATTCTCATGCAAATAAAACTCATTTTCACAAGAAAGGTTGTGTACCTAGCCTCATTTTGAAAGTGAGGGTTTTTGGAACTCGGAAGTGGCCTATTGCACAAGGATGTTGCCTCCTGACCTGCATAACGAACTCTGAGTTTATCACGAACACGAAGCTAGTGTTTCATTTTAATGATCGGCTTTTTTCAGCAGTTGCAACGGGGACAGGACACGCGACGCCTTCTGGGTCACCTGTACGTCATTTTGTCTTTTTTTCGACTAAGGCAAAACGTAATTTTTGATTGAGCTATGCCACAAGCGTCACAGGCAGCCGTTTGAAGATTTGGATACCCACCCAGATTCCTCAAGCGCTCTTTAGAAGATATTTTCAAAACATCATAACTCTCTTATTACGTTTGGTTTAAATATTGCGCCCTTAATGAAAAGAGTAAAGCCTATGATAAGAAAAGAACAATTCTGCGTACAATAAAATTTGATACACTGTTTATTATTTAACAAAACTACCTAAGATACTTAATTAATTAAAACCTTAACTTATCACATGGAGTGTAAGACGTAGGGCCGGTTACTGCAATTTTCCAGTACAGTTACATGCAGTTACACTGTCAATACTACCTGGTAAATGCCAATTGTCTTTACACTTATATTACGATCTGGCAAATATCCATTGTTTTGACAGACTATTAATACTGTCGAGTGACTGTCCTCTGGCTTAAAAATTATATTGATGCTGTCGGGTGAATACCCACTGTCCTTGCAACATTAAAACTGCAGGGCAGAATGCATGCCCACTGTCTTTACAATATTAATACTGTCGGTTGAATGCCCTCTGTCTTAACGATATCGGTACTGTTGGGTGAAAGCCCTCTGTGACTGTCGAGTGAATGTCCACTGTCTTTACAATATTATTAATACTTGTTGGGTGTCAATGCCCACCACCGTCCTTACAGCATCAACACTGCCAAATGAATGCCTACTGTCTTTAAAATGTTAATACCACTGCCGGGTAAATGCCACTGTCGCAAGAACATTGATACTGTCGGTTGAATCATGCCCACTGTCTTTACAATATCAATACTACTGGGTGAATCAGCCATTGTGTTAACAACATTAATACTGCCTGGTAAATGCTCTTTGTGTTGTCGGGTGAATGCCCTGTCTTAACAATATCGATACTGTTGGGTGAATGCCCTCTGTCTTAGCAATAATGCCCAATAGAAAGGTTTTCTGTTAAAAATGATTCTGCTGAGTTGATTGTCTAGGCCGTTTTGAAACAAATTGTCTTCTCGTGACAAAATTTCATCGATTGTGTTCGTGGTCCACAGCGATAAACAGCCGATTACTGTTTGGGCTCATGGAACGAAAAGCATCCTGGGTGTCATACATTTTTTTGAAATTTAAGTAAGATTTTTATAGCATTTTACTTTTAAACGCAACAAAGACTAATATGTCAGTAACTTCCTCACTTATTTATCTTTAATTTTCCAATCTTTGTCCCGGGGGGTACTCAACAGAGTTTTATACGGGGAGTGTCGGCCCTGAGGTCCAACCCCTTACCCTTTTAGTACCATTTTTGACAGATAATGTACCCCTTTCGTATTCCACCCATTGACAAATGGTACCCCCTTTACGTACCTTTGTAGTTTAGATTACTGCATTCCTTACAACTGCTGTAAATGCAATGTCTTTTGATCATGGATAAATCATCAAACCAGGAAATTTTCTCCACTTTTTCACAGCCATGAAAACCTTCCGTTGGTTCTTTTAGTTCCTCAGTCAATCTGTCATTTTGGTCTGCCAAGTATGCTTACCAAAATGACAGATTTTCCTACCCTTTCATATACCCGTTTCGATTCCGTATAAGCCATTTTACGGATTACCCCCCTCCCCAACCCGGAACCCTTGTTGACGCATATACAAAGCGACAGAGAAGTGACGTACCTAAACAGATAAACCACAGATTTAGGAAAGGATATCTGAAGGATATCCTTGTTTTATATTACCTTGGATTGTCTTGCCGGCTGCCTTTGTAAGAATACCTTAATGAAGGTGTCCCCGATTAGTAGCCTACGTGGAGCCAGCTAGAAGATATGACACGTCAATTAACAGAAGTAGTTTAGTTCAGTTCAAGTAGATTCATAAGCAGCCCAGCGGATTATCAAAACGATTCCAGTTGACCGAAATTACAGAATTGGCCGGCGCAGATGCACTGGAGGCATGCACCTGTTTTCGATCGTCAAGCACCCCCTGTCACCTTTTTTTCGCGAAATACCGCAGGAGAGTCGCCAACACCAGATTACACGCCGCTAATTTTTAAAAATACTCTTTTTATTCAAGCTTAAACAGCCAAAAACTTTTCGTGTAATAATATTGATTAAACAAAAACAGCATGTAAACATGTCATTGCGCCCATTATATTGGTTCAAGACATATTTGACGCACTCTTTCACACTTTTTTCTGTGAAAACACAGACATTAATTAAAAGTGGAAAATCAATCACGCAGGTTCGGTTTAATTACGAGTGAGCAGTTACCTTTGACAGCCATATTTAACAATTATATTGAATTTGGTATGATGTGAATAATTACGCAGATCGAAGAGAATGTTATCCACTGACCCCGTCCTCGAAGACTTTTTATTGGCACAGTTTCAGGATATAAACAGGTTCTTTTTTTGCTGTAGATATATGTACTCCTCATAAAGTAGATAACATCTATCGAACAACATGTTTAGCGTTTTCTTCCATTATCTGTTACCTTCCGTTTTCAGTTTTAGTCAGAAATTCAGCTATTTCGCTATTTCTTAGTTCTCGCGTGTAAATAAACAGCTAGGCGGCTGCGCCTGGAAACGAGGTTGACCGATGTATGTTGTCTAAGCAGCCTCGTTTCCAGTCAAATATACAATCAAATCAATGTTTGCATCTTCCAAATTTGGTCAACGCCAGCTGGTTATGAAGAATTAGCCGGGGGATTTTAGCCAGTCAGAAAGGTAGGTGCTCAGCCTTTGATATGGAAATCATTTTTCATTCTCATGCAAATAAAACTCATTTTCACAAGAAAGGTTGTGTACCTAGCCTCATTTTGAAAGTGAGGGTTTTTGGAACTCGGAAGTGGCCTATTGCACAAGGATGTTGCCTCCTGACCTGCATAACGAACTCTGAGTTTATCACGAACACGAAGCTAGTGTTTCATTTTAATGATCGGCTTTTTTCAGCAGTTGCAACGGGGACAGGACACGCGACGCCTTCTGGGTCACCTGTACGTCATTTTGTCTTTTTTTCGACTAAGGCAAAACGTAATTTTTGATTGAGCTATGCCACAAGCGTCACAGGCAGCCGTTTGAAGATTTGGATACCCACCCAGATTCCTCAAGCGCTCTTTAGAAGATATTTTCAAAACATCATAACTCTCTTATTACGTTTGGTTTAAATATTGCGCCCTTAATGAAAAGAGTAAAGCCTATGATAAGAAAAGAACAATTCTGCGTACAATAAAATTTGATACACTGTTTATTATTTAACAAAACTACCTAAGATACTTAATTAATTAAAACCTTAACTTATCACATGGAGTGTAAGACGTAGGGCCGGTTACTGCAATTTTCCAGTACAGTTACATGCAGTTACACTGTCAATACTACCTGGTAAATGCCAATTGTCTTTACACTTATATTACGATCTGGCAAATATCCATTGTTTTGACAGACTATTAATACTGTCGAGTGACTGTCCTCTGGCTTAAAAATTATATTGATGCTGTCGGGTGAATACCCACTGTCCTTGCAACATTAAAACTGCAGGGCAGAATGCATGCCCACTGTCTTTACAATATTAATACCGTCGGTTGAATGCCCTCTGTCTTAACGATATCGGTACTGTTGGGTGAAAGCCCTCTGTGACTGTCGAGTGAATGTCCACTGTCTTTACAATATTATTAATACTTGTTGGGTGTCAATGCCCACCACCGTCCTTACAGCATCAACACTGCCAAATGAATGCCTACTGTCTTTAAAATGTTAATACCACTGCCGGGTAAATGCCACTGTCGCAAGAACATTGATACTGTCGGTTGAATCATGCCCACTGTCTTTACAATATCAATACTACTGGGTGAATCAGCCATTGTGTTAACAACATTAATACTGCCTGGTAAATGCTCTTTGTGTTGTCGGGTGAATGCCCTGTCTTAACAATATCGATACTGTTGGGTGAATGCCCTCTGTCTTAGCAATAATGCCCAATAGAAAGGTTTTCTGTTAAAAATGATTCTGCTGAGTTGATTGTCTAGGCCGTTTTGAAACAAATTGTCTTCTCGTGACAAAATTTCATCGATTGTGTTCGTGGTCCACAGCGATAAACAGCCGATTACTGTTTGGGCTCATGGAACGAAAAGCATCCTGGGTGTCAATGGGTTAAAGCGGGTTGAGAAAGAATCATAGACTTTCACTTTCTTAGCGCTCAAAGTTTGGCCGCCATTTTACTTGACTTTACACGGCGGGGACTGGAACCTGCTAACTGAAACAGCGAAACAAACTTCCCCGGAAAATCGAGTTGTCAGACGCTTTCAAGACAAAAATAAGTGGCTGCCCTGTGCGGGCAGCAACAATCAAGCAGCTATTTATAATTAACTAGCAAAGACCAAATTTTTACTGACATTTACCTTCCTCCCCCTCTCCAACTACGTGCACCTTTATGTAATTCAAGTCCAAACTCTTTTTAAGCCACAATCTTTTCATATTGGTTTAAAACGTGTAGTATAGGAAGCTTTATCTTGTAACCATCTTTAGGAGGACGGCCCAAACATCAAAAACTTTTTAAAAGAAATATCTAGGTTGAAGGGTTTAACAGGGTCTGCTTGAATCATAGCAGGCAGTCATGAAATTTTAAGGTGGCTCCTATTTGATATAATAAATTCAATTTGTGAAAAGGTTCATCTTCTTTATAGGCTGATATTACGGTTCTACCCTTAATTAGATGGCTATACATTCTGCACTCAGTGTCCGGGCATTGGAAATTTTGTTTTCCGGAATCCTGATAACTGCTGCCAAATAAGGCGAGTGTTCGAATGCCTCAGCATTACATCCTACTCGAACGTCCGTTAATTGCAGTTTTCGGGTCACACTGTAAGGGCAGCTGACAGCTGACTTGATCTTGGCCCTGAATTTCTGATTAACTAAAGCATATACAATTGGGTTAATAGCCGAGTTGAACAAGATCAACGTGCTAGTGGCGATGTATGACATATCACTGCTGGCATAGTGAGAGGAAAAGGAGGTTAGGATCCAGCTTATAGCGTCAGCAAGCCAGCATACTCCAAAGATGACACTAACAGTGATAACCATCAAGGTGACCCGCTTTCGTACCCTCAGCAGGCCCTGTGGAAGAACAGGTAAAAGAGTGGTGAATTCAAGCACCTGTATTAATCGCTGTATACAGGGTCGGGAAGGGTACCCTCGGGATCCCGAATTTGAGCGAAACATAATGCGGGATTCGGGAAAACGCAAAATTTATGTTGTTGACGGGATTTGGACGCCTCCCTGGAAGCGGGATTCACCAAAATTAGGCTTTTCCGGAGAGATTTTCTACAGGTGGACTCATCCCGGTGTCTCAGCAACCGCGCGGTCAGGTCATTTGGCCTCACGGGACGGCTTATGACTTTTACACGACCGGGCAAGGATAGGATCGACAAAACCAAAAAATTGAGGTTGTTAACCAAAAAATCCGGTTGGAAAGTAAGCGCAACATGCCTTTTTGAGTTGCATCGGAAAATTTACGGGAACAACTACCATCTGTGAAAGTAGTCCTGTTTTTCCGGATGGAATATTCCAAGCAGTAATTCGAGTACCATTCGTTGAAACCAGGGCGGATAAAGGTTGGGCGGTGAAACGAGCGCTCCGCTCTTCATTTAATGTGTGATGCGGAGAAGGACTGGCACGAGCGCTCTTTCCGCGCTTCCGGTGCGCTTGAAGGCCGGCGAAATTTTCCTTTTTGCAAACCGGAAATCCTTTTTTATTTCTGTAATTTCAGGCTACAATGTTAAATAGATAAATTCGTTTCATAACAATATCAATAAACAGTTTCATATGTTTGTGTCTGTACGTCTATAAGTCAAACTTGTTGGTCGTATAATGCCAAAATTTGAGTTTAATTTGAAAGTGTTGAATACCTCCTCCTTCCACTAAATATCACCTAATCGTCTTTCGCCGTTTCGTTTGCAAAAGCTTAACACTTCTTAACCTCAATTTTTACATATGTTAAAGGGGGATAAATTTTGTATAACATAACAAAAAATTAGATTGATATATATTGATATAGTGGCGTTGTACTTCTTCAAACTTTGCTTCTCGGGTGCAACGCGCCATGGCGATTCGCGCAATGCGTTGCAAATCCGGCAACCGCATGTAAACAAAATTTATTGAGGTTAGTTGTAAGGTTTTTTCTCAGTTTTCCTCTCTAAAACAAAACAAGATAAACAGTAAAAACTGAGGGGAAACTAATTTTGAAGTTTCGAAGAAACAGAAAGACGTATGAGATGTTTTTTTCAAATTTAAAAAGAAGGATGATGGTGATTGAAATTAGCATAATTTCACCTTGCACGAGCTGCACGCATTTATAAAATACACGTCATCTAGCTATGAAACACGATCTGCTGTCTTTTAGTTTTGCCATGGATGACATGGATGAGCTTTTCCTTCGTGTTTCAGACAGTATTTAGTTGTTTTTGTTTTGGAATAACATCGAGATTGGCGGGTAGCAGAACGAAAATATAATTCAGTGGTAGAGTCATGGAAGTAATAAAAGAAACCCTTTGAAAGAGATGTATGTTTGTCTACTCCAACTAAACCTCCCGCAAAAAAATAGCAACATTTGCCTCTCGGAGACAGCGTACCAGGACAAAGGAACGAAGAAGAAGTGCAAGAAAACAAATTAAGCCGCCATAATACAGTGACAGCGGCAGTGTCTAATGTACAAACCACATCACAAGCCCTGACCGAAGTCGAAAACAAGCGACATTTCTAAGCAGAGTCCCAGTCCACTGCATCACACCTTTTTGCTCGGACGCGCTCGTTTCACCGCCCAACCTTTATCCGCCCTGGTTGAAACCCATCTTTGATACCAGTTCCAGGCTTTCGCGACCGTTTTTCGGTAAAAGGAACTGGATTTTGCGTACCATTCACCCAAACCGTGAACCGACCGGTTTTCCCATGCGATGGAGTACGATGTTTTTCACAAACAAAACGTTTTAAATGAGCGCCGCTCCGACAAGTCGGAAAGTAAGGACCTTACGAAACTACGACGGCGACGGCAAAAAAAAAGGGTTTAATGAGCAAAAAAACAACTCTGCACGTGCATCACGCTTTTTTGTACATTTCTTTGCCGTCCCTCCATAAATAGGACGTGAAATGACCAAATTTTAAGTTTACTTGGGAACGGGAACGGCAAGGCGATAAATTCTACCATCTCTGTCAGGACTCGGGTGCGGTCCCTTCTCTTCAGCTTTAACCAAAATTCTCTTCTTTTAAGTAACTGGGCCCCTTGAAATAATCGCGAAAAAAAGCGAAAGGATGCGAAGTCTATTTTCAGTGACGTTTTCATGGAAGTCATCGTTGTCGGATCGTAAAGTCCCTATTTTCGCGCTGCAACGGTCCTTCGAGTAAAAACGGTGCCGGCTCAAGGTGCAGAAGAATTTTTGTTCAAACCTGTTGTAGAGAGATCTCTCTTCCATCATGCACTGCACGTTTGAACCACAAAGTGTACGCGACACGTGAATATAACGTAATCATGAAAGAAACAGGTAAAATTGCCGTGAACAGAGACCAAATCACAGAATAGGCCTTCTCCATCCACTCTTGAGGGTGAACGTCAATGCAATCACCTTCGTTCTTGTCATAAACACCAAACATTAAGGTTGGACTGTTTATAATCACTCCAAAGATCCAAGAGCAAGTTACAATCACCTAAAAAGGAAAAAACAAAAACAAAAACAGTTAAAGGGACACAGTCAGCTGATGCACATGCGCATTAGATACCATTTTTTAGCTGAGACTCGCGAAGGGACATACGTGAGTTATAAACAGAAAGTGAGAAGCCCATCCGGAATATCTAAATAAACTGTATGGAGTTGAAATAATTACAAGTCAAAATCGTGATTATAGATCACATGTGCTCATATTAGAGCACTCATATAGCATTGAGAACTCACCGATGGACTTGTTCAGGGAAAGCCAAATATAAACTTTACCCGCCGACAAATGATGAAAATATAATACAAAAACAACTCTGAAAAACATCTTGCCAACTTACCTCAACCCGAGGTAAAGCCATTTATTATAAAGCCAAACATCCACGAATACTTCCGAATTCGAAGAATCAGTAGATCGAAGTAGAACCGTTTCCCTAAACTCTTCCGTCTCCTCCCGTTAGTAGGGACCTTACGAAACTACGACGGCAACAGCAATGGCAACGTCAAAAAACAATAGGTTTAGTAAGCAAAACAACAGCTCTGTAAGTGCATCACCCTTTTTGTTCTTTTCTTTGACGCGCATCCCTGCCCGACTACGACGTGAAATAACAAAATTTTAAGTTTTCTTGAGAACAGAAACGGCAAGGTGATGAATTCTACCATCTTTGTCTGAACTCGCGCGAGTGCGGTTCCCTTCTTTTAAATAACTGGGCGACTTGGGATAATCGCGAAATGGCTTGAAAGGATGCGGAGTTTTTTTCTCAGCGAGGTTTTCATTGACGTCGCTGTCGTAGTTTCGTAGTTTAGTTTCGTCCCTGTACGTAGTGCCCGTGCTTTTTTTCGCAGACCTCGGAGGCATGCGTAACCGCCAAGAGGGACTACATCTAGGCATCCCGCGCTTCCTGCCCTTTTTCGCTACTATCAGACGTACGACATTCGCTAAACGCACCTTCATTTTGCGATCAGTAAGCTTTCCTATGTTCTTAAGGGGATGCATCACTGCATAGTAACGTTCAGCTGCTATGGCAATCAATGTGACAACCGAAGCAACACCTCCGATGTAAGCTATGGTGCCCCCCGTCACCAATCGGCATAATATCTTGCCAGACTCTCCATCTGGGTGGGCAGAAGAGCTGAGAAAAATAAACTGCGGTAGAAAGAACGTGGCAGCGGTCATGTCGGCAACAGCTAAGTTCAGGAGAAGGAAGTTAATTGAAGTTCTGGGGAAAATAAGTGAAATAAATGCGATCAGCAGGAGGAAGATAAAGACATTATTCGTGAAAGATATTTGTCGACTCGGTCACAAATGCTCTTTTTTGCTCTCTGTGTAGTACCCGTTGATCTGCCGATATGTCTCGCTGAAACAGCTTTTGAACAGGGTTCAACCCTGTTCCGTGGGTTCTCTCCTACTCGTCTTAGGAGAGAACCCTGGGAACGAGGTTGAACAGGGTATATACTTTTACTATTGACAGGATGCCTTTGAGACTGAAGGCTTTTGAACAGTGCAGGGTCAACGCTGGCAGACTGTGCAGTCTACATATACCGTACCAACGGTACCAACTTTTTTTAAAAATCTAATTCTACCATGTTAATTTTAAAAATACCAAGAGAGAATTCTCTCTTGAAAATACTTGATTCGGGTAAGCGAAATGAAATGAATAAGGGTCATAAAAATAAAAAGTCTCTTGGTCTCAGGGTAGCAAAATAAATGGTTTTTGTTAGTTTCAGTTGAAGGCCTCAGCGGCACACCCCTACAAAACTGAACCCGTGTTCCTCTCTCGCCGGAAGTTAAAACTCTAAGTCAGTGCTCACAATAGTTTTACGAAGAAAGCTGTTTGCAGGTCTCAAGGAACACATACCTCATGTCTTGGTTTTTCATTATAATTACGCACACCAGAGAATTTCCGGTGATGTTCAAGATGACCAAAAAGCACTGCATCGTTGTTATGGCGATCTGTGATGATTTAGAACCCGTGAAAACATACATAGCTTTCGAAGTTAGGTCGATTCCCTCTTAACAGTTTTGTCTCATCTGGTGAGGAAAGGTTCAGCCTGTTACAATTTGTTCAAATGATTCTTTTCGATCGAAAGGTTCTCGGCCTTGACAATCCCATTACTTCTTGGACAGCGCTGAGTCTTCCGGACTTTTCTAAGTCAATTAGACGAAAGGGAACTGCAGCATGGCTTTGACTTCCCTTCTGTTATAGACAAACTTTTTTTTCTGTTTTGTAACTCAAAAAGCCCATTGGCTTACCTCATAACAGCTATAGCTGAAACTTTTTTTTAACTTGCTATTTTTCTTTGAAATTCTTTTTAATTATTTTCTTGTAAAACTACCCCTGCGGAGTTTTTTCATCTCGTTCCTCTTTTCCCGTTTATCTTTCGCTTTGTTTTCCTTTATAGGTTTTCATGACAACTATGGTACACCCCAGGAAGAACAGGAAACTGAAATCTTGCCCCGCTGCCTTGTTTTTTAAAAGTAAAATGCTTACGAGACAGCCAAGGCCAACTACTTAAGAAAAAACTCAAAATTACTATCTAGGACAGACGGTAAAAAATAGCCTAAATGAAAACATCCGCAGTTGCAAGGTGACAAGCCAGTGTAATAATAAATAAACATGAATTGATATCGAGAAAAGAAATACACTTATTCGGGGCCCGGTTATGGCCTTCCTCGCTTATCATCTTTAATTTACCTATCCTTGTCTCGGCGGTTACTTAACAAACTTTTATACGGGGAAAATCCGCCCCGAGGTCCAACCCCTTACCATTTTATATACCACTCTCGACTGAAAAGGTACCCCGTTCGTATACCCTTCATTGACAAATGGTACTCATTTGAATCCCTTTTAACTGTTGTAAATGTTCTGTCTTTCATAAAATTCTTCTGTTAGCCCTTTCAGGTTGTTTTACAGACAGAAATGACAGATTTTCGTTCCCTTTCATATACTTCAGCAAGTGAAATTCCTACCCTTTCAGGTACCCCCCGCCCTCCGCCTGAATCTTTGTTGATGCCACCAGGCGATACCGGCGAAGCGATACAGGAGTGTCGTGACCGAAGAAATGAAACACATATATCTGACAGTCTAAAAATTGAGATTCGGGGAAGGATATCCCTATTATATATCACTGTGGGTTATCTTACCCACTGCCCTAGCACAAAAGAATATTTAAAAGTTTTATTGAAATTGATATATTGACAACTGGAACTCCCTACTCAGTAATATTGTTGAGGCAGACAATGTTATCAACTTCAAGAAGCTTGTGTACTTACAAGCATTTAAGCGATAGATCGCATAATGCGTTGACTCTGTACATATCTTAGTGAATTTTATATCTAGTATTTAACATTATATATTTAGGGAGGGGGTCAGCTTTGTATGAGGTTCTTCTCTGTTGGCACCCTTTTTACACTTATCCTTCTTTTTGTCATTTGTTTTGTATTCCAATAAAGTTGTTTCATCAGTAGGTCGAGCATGAGAAGACTGAGCATCAATTATAAATAAAGAATGCCGTTATGACCTTAGTTTATAAGCAGCTCAGCGGAATATCAAAACGATTGCAGTTTACCCATATTTCAGAATTGGCTGCACACTGGAACAATGCAGCTGCTTACGTCGAGCGCTCCTTGTCACCTTTTGACGCGAAGTGAAGCACAGCAGGAGATTAGCCAACACCAGCTGACATGCCATTAATGTTTAGAAATACTTCTTTTCTTCAAGCAAAAAAACCTGAAACTTATTGTCTAGTAACCTTGATTTAACAGACAAAACATGTAAACATGTCACTGCACTATATCAGTTTCGAGACTGATTTGACGCACTCTTTCACACTTTTTTTGTATGAAAACCGACAAACATTAATTAAAGGTGGAAAATCGGTCAGGTTCGGTTCTATTACAGCTTAGCAGTTAACATGGAAAACTATATAAATCAATCATATATCCTGCTGAAGGAGGCGAGGTTGTAAATTATCTATTATGGGTAGAAATATTTTCTTTTTAACTGGAAATTTCGATGGATGAGAATTTTTCCATTTGTGCTCTACTTAGTATTCTATTTAGTCTATTTTTTTGTTTTCCTTTGTTTTAAAAATTCACTTTTTAATTAACTATATGAGTGATTTTTTATGCATTAGCATTATCATAAAAATGAATAAATAAACAGTAAATAATAACCATAAGTTACCTTCTTCATTACTATATAACACAGAGGCTAATGGCGCCGAGCCACAATGAAATCGTCCCATGTAAAGGAATTACTTGTCCCTAAAAGAAGCCTTTTAGTAGACTTAAAATTTATGGATAGGGAATCTGTTAGAGCATTTCACAACAATGTTTACCTCGTTTACCTGCAAGTCTGCAGTCTGCGTTTGTCGCACACCGGGTGACCGGGCGAGAGACGGAGACAGGGAAGATTTATAGATGCCAGCAGAAGCACATAACTTATATGCTTCTAATCGCAGTTACGTACTTAGTGCAACAACCGCGCCTAAATTTTGCTTCACATGTTACTATAGCTATCACGGGGAATAGGCCATTTGGCCTCTGTTTCAAAACGAGGGTAGGTGCTCAGCCTTTGATATGGAAATCATTTTTCATTCTCATACAAATAAAACTCATTTTTACAAGAAAGGTTGTGCATCTAGCCTCATTTTGAAAGTGAGGGTTTTTGGAACTCGGAAGTGGCCTGTTGCACAAGGATGTTGCCTCCTGGCCTGCATAACGAGCTCTGAGTTTATCACGAACACGAAGCTAGTGTGTCATTTTAATGATCGGCTTTTTTCGGCAGTTGCAACGGGGACGGGAAACTCGACGCCTTCTGGGCCACCGGTGCGTCATTTTGTCTTTTTTCGACTAAGACAAAACGTAATTTTTGATTGAGCTTTGCCACAAGCGTCACAAGCAGCCGTTTGAAGATTTGGATACTCATCCAGATTCCTCAAGGGCTCTTTAGAAGGTATTTTCAAAACATCATAACTCTCGTATTACGTTTGGTTTAAATATTGCGCGCTTCATGAAAAGAGTAAAGCCTATGATAAGAAAAGAAAAATTTTGCGTACAATAAAATTTGATGCACGTCGAGAACTGTTTATTATTTAACAAAACTACCTAAGATACTTAATTAAAACCTTAACTTATCACATGGAGTGTAAGACGTAGGGCCGGTTACTAAAATTTTCCAGTACAGTTACATACAGTTACACTGTCAATACTGCCTGGTAAATACCAATTGTCTTTACACTTATATTTCGATTTGGCAAGTACCCATTGTTTTGACAGACTATTAATACTGTCGAGTGAATGTCCTCTGGCTTAAAAATTATATTGATGCTGTCGGGTGAATACCCACTGTCCGCACAATATTAAAACATTAAAACTGCCGGGCAGAATGCATGCCCATTGTCTTTACAATATTAATACTGTCGGTTGAATGCCCTCTGTCTCAACGATATCGGTACTGTTGGGTGAAAGCCCTCTGTGACTGTCGAGTGAATGTCCACTCTCTTTACAATATTAAAACTGCCGGGCAGAATGCATGCCCACTGTCTTTACAATATTAATACTGTCGGTTGAATGCCCTCTGTCTTAACGATATCGGTACCGTTAGGTGAAAGCCCCTCTGTTTTAACAATATTGCGATTGTCGAGTGAATGTCCACTGTCTTTATAATAACAATACTCTTGGGCGAATCAGCCACTGTCTTAACAATATTAATACTGCCTGGTAAATGCCCTTTGTGTTGTTGGGTGAATGCCCTGTCTTAACAATGTCGATACAGTCGGGTAAATGCCCTCTCTCTTAGCAATATTAAAACTGCAATATTAATGCCCACTGTCCGGGTGAATGGCCATTGTCTTAACAATATTAATCATTTATAGCGGATGAAAGCCCACTGTCTTTAAAATATTGATACTGTCGGGTGAATGCCCACTGTGTTAACATTTTTTAAAAAAATTTCCAGGTGAATACCCACTGTGTTACTCTCAATACGAAAATGCGGAAAGTCTTAACAGCCATTAGAAATCTTGCTTTCTAAGGTTACAGCTACGAACTGATCAATCAACTGCGGGGTGAAAGCCCATTGTCTTTACACTCAATAGAAAAATGAAAGTCTTATATTAAGAATCTTGCTTGCGTAAACTATTAGTAATCAAAATAGTGTCTTCTCACATCTGACCAAGCTCCGTTAGATTGCGTCAGTGCACTGAAACGGAAATGGCCCTGAAAATGTATCCAGTAAACATATGTCAGATATGTTACAACTTTGATCCTATCCAAGAGGAAACAAGGCAATGAAGGGGGCATTTTTTAATTTGCGGTTCTAATATGTATTTTTTTTTTCTGCATAAAAATACAGTATATCACTTAAAATTTTGGCCCGTCGATTGGAGGACAGCTTATTCCCGAAAGGGGAGGGAGGAGGCGCTTATTGGAATTAACGGGATATATATTACTCAGACGAGGAAGCATGACTTGATTAAAGCGATTGTAAATTGATGTTGGATGTAAACTGTAAAACAAAACCAAAGATCAGTAGATTTTATAAATTAAGAATTCTTTTTTATAATATTTTTTATTTAGATAATTTCAGACCTACTTTTAGTATTTTTATAATCAAACTTACTATGCCGTACCATCATCATAGTGTCCATAGTCATTGTTTTCGACAGCTATTCGCTCAGTCATCGAAAGGTCACGAAGCAGCGTAGCTTGATTCTGGTGTCGATTTAACCCTAACGGGGAAAAGAAAACAACTTAGCGATCACCGTAAAATTTGAAAAAGTACTTAAAATACTTGACTAAGTTAAGTGTTTTAAAACTAAATGTAACTAAGTGAGGATTTTTTAACTGTCCACTTTGATGTAAAAGTTAAGTGCTTGTGTGTTACAAGGATGACACTGCTCTTAATTTATTAGCGTCGGTTGTCTTTGAGCTCCGTTGTAACCGAAAGAGACCTTTTCAGGGAACTCTCCAGTAGTGAGGCGTGTTGTCAGGTATTTCAGGCGTCGTGACCGGTCATTTCTGCTAGTTAGTTAAATCAATCGCAGAACTTATTTAGTCATTCTACAGCTGATTCTAGTCAGGCACCGTATATAATTAACGCTGTAAAAAAACCTTGGCGATCGTTTCTAACATTTCTAGCCCCTTTTCTTTTGTACTAGTCCTGCTGACGTGGTTTTTATAGCCTGCGTGGCATGCGTTCCAAAGGGAAGGGGAAGGGAATTAGTACAGGCTACGGTTTTTAGGGCAAGCCTTTTCCGGTCCAATTTTTCAGCTAACAAGACTACCCCTCCCTGTCGTTCGCTTGTATCAGTTTCGCCCTCTAGAATAAAGAAAACCGAAAACAGAATACAGAATACCGAATTCAATTTATCGAAGGGCAAGCAAAAGTTATTAAGTCCAGTAACCGAGGCACTAGGTTAATGGATTACGACTTATTGTTCTTTTTACAGTTATCGTATATATTTAAAAGCTTTACTAGAGGTTTGTGCGCCAATTCAAGTCGCCACAAGGCTACAACTAAGTAAACACGAAGAATTAAGCTTCCTTTAGAAGGAGTGGTTCGCTGAAGGAATTCCCTTTTCTAACAATGTTTACTTTAATAGGTAATCCTTCATTGAGGGAAGTAGTTCCTGTTATCGGTTCCCCCGTCAATACTTTTAGTCTTTTGTATATATTGCCAAGAAACTATTAAAGCAAAATAATGTTCCTTAATCATGCTTTTGATCGATTCTTCAAAGCAAAACTGGCGCTATAACCTTGGTCTGTCTTTACGAATTCGTACAAAGGATAAAAGTCACCAACAGAGTTCAGAGGCGTGCCCTTATCAGTAGATAACTCTAATCCTCTGTTTCGGCAAATCTTGTTAGTGGCCTCAATATTTTGGCTAAACAAAAGGGAGGTTGCCAGGGAAACTTAATTGCTATTATCTACGTTATTCTTCAGTACGATCAGGAGTGCTTACCAGTTTGTATAGAAAACCCGGAAATTCCGGGGAGAATTGAAATGGAACAGTTCATCCCGGTGGAAGTTTTCTGGAAAAAAAGTAATACCTTTCGAGATATTACCTTTTTCCCGTTTTTACCGGAACGACCGAAATTTTCTGTACCATTTGTTTGGATTACTAGTTCTAGGCTTCATGTCGTGAGAAAGCGAAAATTTTACCGGTATTTTGTAAATGATACTACTCAATCCCGTTCCTGTTTTCGGTGACAAAAAAAATACCAGTACCATTTGACGGAAATGTTTCACTGAAATTTCCATACAAAAGGTAAGCGCCCCACATCTCAAATTTACTTTTTTTAATGTAGAATGAATTGTGCAAACTTAGCACAATGCGTCTATAATTAGAAGAAATACTAAAATAGCAATAATTTTCCTCACAACACAAGTTCCATTTCTTCCTTACTTTGGTTAAGGCGTTGCAATCCTAATACAGGCCCTCGGTTGCACCAATACTGCCAATACGATCCAAACAGCCACACGAACACATTGCAGCACACATTGTATGCTCCTGTCATCATAATTCTAAAGATTATCATCGCACGGAGAAGAAATTGCTGAAGGTGAAAAGCCCAAGACATGTCATTTACCGGAAACACAGACTTCAAGTAGAAGTGATTGTTGCTTTTTTTGGTTTTTGCTACTCTGAACCACAAAATCTCCCCAGCTCTCAATCGACCATTCAAGTAGATCGGTCACTGAAGAGACAGAAATGGCCGATTTGAAACCTTTAGACCTCAAACTGATTACACTTTCTCAAGTTCCTCAGTCATCCGATCAGGCCACGACCCATCCGAATCCTTAACCCTATTTTAGGAGCTGTGTCACGACAACAACAATAGGCTTTATAAGCATGACTATAACAAAGTATTACGGTATTGCAAAAGCCACTTGAATTCAGTTATTGTTTCTTTTTTAAATTAATTATTTAAAATAACTTCAAATATAAGAATTATTGCTTATTTTCAACCATCAGTAGGATTAATTATTCCGAAGACAAGTTTGTCTCTCAATTCAAAGCAAGATGATATAGATGAATTTAATTGGGTGTTAATAAAATTGTCAGTAGAATTCATTAGACGTGATAAAAAGGTCTCATGTGATTGTAGTCGTAGAAACGGCATTTTAGGTTCTAGTTTAGAGAAGAACATCTCTCTTCTCGAAGATAAAACTTGGACAATGTAATAAAAAGTGAGTTTCATCTTCAATTCTGTTGCAATTGAGGCCAATTGAGGAGACTTCTGACCTTTTATCACGTGGTATATTGTCGTATCTGCCTGTCTCAATCCTAAGTTTGTGACTGCTTTAATTCTCAGTTTCACTAATGTTTTCTCGAAAAGTTGCTCAAAAGTTGCTTTTTGTTACGAAAGTTGCTCAGAAGTTGATCGAAAAAACAAAAACGTATTTTTGGTCTGATGCTAAAATATGCAAACTGTACAGCAAAAGTAACATTTCTAAGCATTTTTGTGCAATTTTGCGGCGTAACCAGCGTTGCTAAATAACTTTGTCAATTAAAACCAAAAAAGTAATGAGCCAATAAAATTCTTCAGTCAGTCAGTCGAGTGTTAGCCTGCGAACCGAAGAGGTATTTCCGGTCGTCGCTTCTCTTCCTCCGAAAAATAACATATTATTTTTCGGAGGGAGAGAAGCGACGACTGGAAATACGTCTGCGGTTCGCAGGCTAGTCGAGTGTGAATTTCCTCTAAAAACCGATAACTTAGCAGCCCAGCTACGTCTTGCCCCCATGATCTGCTCCAGGGGGAAGATTTGGCTCCTTTTTACAGGAAATTCATAAATTGTCTACTAAAACATTGTGAAATATGGAAGAAAGGCCAATTTAAGAAAAAAAGCTGCTCCGATATCTCAGAATTAGAAGATAACTGAAAATCCCTATAATCTTATCACCAAAATTCAGACAGTGGAAACTGCCACCAAATTGAGTAAAGCATAAAAATAACCGCTCAAAACGTGAAAAGGAGGAAAAATACACGGCAAAGGCAAAAAGGGGATTAAATAGGATTGCAATTGTGGTTCATCCTTCCGTGACACTGAAGACACACAGCCCCCTTCAAACGCCCCCACTTTTTTCCGAAATATTAAGGACATCCTCGCTTAAAAAATGAAATACTGGCTTGGATTGATTAATCCTATGGGTACTCTTGTTGTGCTGCTCCAATCACGCTGAAAGTTCCTAGAAATAAAGACAACGACACCAGATCATAACAATATTGATTTCATACATTATTAATAACTTTTACCTCTTTAAGTTCACTTGTTGGATGTAAGTTTTATTTCTCATACAAACTCTCTTTAATAGTCGTATACCACTCGTATGGCATAGTATCATAATCAAGAATTAAAAATGAAATCTTCCCGACACAAAAAAACGATTGCGTTGACTAAAACCTAGCAACGCCCTTTCCCCGCTGCCATACTGGTTTAAGCCCATCTCTATTAAATCCTAAACACCACCCTGTATTACGGTTCTGTAGTGAATCAGAAACTAATAATGAAAAGATTCCCCATGTGAGGTCGTCGGTTGACCACATAGGAGTCTATGTCTAGTTAAAGGCAATCAATCAATCAGTCAGTCAGTCAGTCAGTCAATCAATGAACGACGCAAAAGGGACCTGGAGTCCACCCGGATGCAGCGAATTCTCGCAGTGGGGTCGGGTGGGGTGGGATTTGTCCTTGCTTTCAGAAGTATGTGCCACAGGAAAGAGTATGGAGCCAAGTATCAGTGTAGTCTGGAACATGGTTTAGCTTGGTCATGATAGGGTATCAACCAAGCCAAACCTGACATCAAGGACTTGATGAAAAAATCAAAATCTTGAGCTGCGTTTCCTATATTATTCCTTAGAGATAACTGAGTTTCTAGTTGAGTTTGTCGGGGATAGCAGTGGCGGATCCAGGGGAGGGGCCCGGGGGGCCGTCCCCCCTTATTTTTAGACAAAACTGAGGCCCGAAGGGCCAAAAAAAAGATTTTTTAGACCGGGCCATCCCCTTGCCACTGGATAGGGCATGGATTTGGTGCCCATACTAGAAAAGAAAGGATGAAAAATAAAGTTTTCTAGTACAGATCTAGCTTAAAGTACCTTCGACCCGGCGTTTATTTCAAAATTGTGTCCGCTAGATGGGCCTAGCTTTATATCTAGTTTATATCTAGAACTCCTTCTTTTGACTTTGGACCCAGTTTTTATTCAGAACCCGGCATGAAAAAGACAAAATGTGTGTGTGTGTGTGTGAAGGGGGGGGGGGGGGGGGCCTAAAAATTGTATTTAAATTTGTCGCTCGATGTGGGCACCTATATTTATTTTTTTTTTTACTAGACACCCTTTTCTTTTGGTGTGGCCCGTGTTTTTTTGACAGGGCGGGAGGAAAAAAAAAAAAAATGTGGTTTGGTGGGGGTGAGGGGGGGGGGGGGGTACTCAAAAAAGTTTTATAAGGGGAGGTTCCTCCCCGAGGTCCAACCCCTTACCCTTTTAAATACCATTTTTGACAGGAAATGTACCCCTTTCGTATACCCTCTATTGAAAAATAGTACCCCTTTCATATACCTTGCTTAGAAATTGCACCCCTTTTAATGAAATGTCTTTGCTATTTGAATAAATCACAAAAAAAACGTTTTCTCGACTATTTCACAGCCAGAAAATGCACCAGTTAGCCCTTTTGGGACTTTTTTCAAACCAAAATGACAGATTTCCCTACCCTTTCATATACTTGAACTAGTGAAATCCCAACCCTTTTATATATCAGGAGCCGATTACCTGAAGCCCAAAAAGGGTACCCCTTTCGGGCGGAGCTTCCTTGTATAGGCAATTATGGGGCTACGCCCCCTGGGGCCCCACCCATCAAACGGGTGTCTCTAGGGAACAGTTCAATCTGAAAAAATTATAACTCCCACTAAAAACTTGTCTCTCTATTTTCATCTCAGTATCTGGCAGAGGAACCTTCACGTTTTCGTGACATTTCGTGTCAGTTTTTAAGCTAAGTGCACTACAATTTGTTTTGTTTTTGCTCTTAACAAAAGAGCACAACGTGTCAAGATCATCCACTGTAATATACCTTGAACAACCAAGGCTAAACCATTTCAGTTTTTTGTTTTGTGTTTTCGATATACTGGCTGCCAGTTCAACAATAATATCATCATCGAGTGTTTTGCATTTTCCAATCGCACGCAATCCTAAATATTCCAAGCTCTGGATATTTGTCACTTGAGAAAGGGCTAAGTTGAGCCCGCTTGGGGTGATAAGGGGACAGCACCCGAGCTCCAAATGTATCAGGCGAGAACTCTCCCACTTTATACTCTGTAATGTATTGTCGTCTATACCGATGCCGTCAAGTATAAGGGTCTTGAGATGCACACAAGACTGTAGAATATCTTGAACAAAGCTGCCCCCCAACGTATGGCATTTACGGACGCTGAGGACCTCTAGCTTCTTACAGCACGCGAACATAGCCGCAGTGCCATCTTTGAGTAGCAGACAATGGCTTAAATCCAAGAAACGCAAGTTTGTCATTCTTTCGATCGTTGTTTCCAAGTTGTTGTCTTTAAGCAGTGTGTAAAGAAAAGCGTCACAGAGTCCGAGAGATTTGATATTACTGAGTCCTAAAGCAATAGCCCGATAGACTTGTGAATGGCCGTGTGAGAATCGGATGTCCAGTTCTTCAAGCTGCTTGAGGAAAACCCTTTTTTCTTGTAGCTCATTCTGTTGTAGGGGCCTGGTTGTTGCGGTAAACTTTACACTTTTTAATTTCAATACTCGTAGCCCTTTACAAGAAGCAAGTCTTTGCAGGGTTTCATCAGACAGAGTAAAACCGCTCAGATCAAGGCTTCGGATTTTTGTTGAGAATCTTTTGACAAGCAACGATTGCATTGTTTCTGGATCAGTAAGACGCGTGGCGAAACGCCTCATATCAACATTCTTCCACAAAACGCCATCAAATGATAATCTGTACCACCATCGACAGACACGCGAAGCTTGAAGCAGATCACCCAAGGAAAGAAAGCTAAAAATCTTCAAGAGATCTTCATCGCCCAGGCTAAACACTGGCGCTCCTAAGGTAGAACTAACATCCCTTTCAGTGACCTGTGCAGCAGATATTTTCTCATTTCTTACTACACCAACTGCATCTAGAGCCATGAAAAGTTTTTCAAGAACTCCTAGTGCCATGGCTGTTAGCATGGTGATGCTCAGCCACGCGATCGTTGACACAAATGCGTGTTTTTACCTGCAAAACAAAACCACTTTTATTATTTTTTTGCCCAGTCATTTCAGGTTTCCATACACGTTTACCGCATCGATAAAGAGATTATTTACACGTTTCCTGTCATATTTTATTTCAAATTTAAGGAGAAACGTGACAAATTAAAAGTATTCTTATAAGACGTGTTTCGCTAGAGGTGTATTATACGAAAAAGTACACTTTAAAAGTTTTGTAAAGTTATTTAAAACACCCTTTCAGGAGCAACAATGTGAGTGTGACACGAATAAGCAAATGTCGCAGTCTGTTTATTTCATTAACGCATAATGTCAAATAATAATCCAAAACCTAATCGTGACAACAAGTATTTTGTTTGCCCGCACCTGTTAATCTTTTCAAAGTGACGAGTTTGAAGGAGTTTTATAGAATGACCATAAGTATTTTAGATGAGAAATTCCTCTAGACGTAAGATTTTTTTTTGCGTGGCATGTGGTCTAAAAATGTACCAAATTTCAGGAGAGCTAGGGCGGAAGTGATCACTTAAATTCACAGGGGAGATTTTCAATGCGTAAAAAATCCACTTAAATGTACGTTAAGAACGAACAAACAGTGAACAACCAGGCTCTGTTCTGTTTCAATGACTACTAACGTTACACGGATTTTCCGTGGAATACCACACGCTCATTTTGAAGGGGGGAAAAATTTATTCACAGACTCTAGATCTATTAAACCGAGCTTCGTTGAAAATTTAACAGCTTGACAAGATTAAATAGGCAATGATTATCTCTAAAAACTAGAAACACCTAACTTCACAATATCCTGCTCTGAGCAATTTAAAAGAGTTTAAACTGGATCTTCGAGGAAGGAAAGCTTATTGGCTCCAGTGCTATTCTTACCCCTGGCCTTGTACTCTGATTTTTTCTTATGGGTCAGATAAAAAAACAGAATATGCAACAAATGGCACACTTTTCATCACGATGCTTTTTTTTTCTTTTGGTAATCTCTGGTACATGATTTCCTACATGACTTAAACCGGAAGTCAGTCAAGTGCTGAGATATATGTATCCGTGTCAGTTAGTCATTTTTATTGATGGACTGTTGTGTGAATGTAGCACAGGGGGTGCTCTCAAAAAGCTATCGTCAAACGCTTAAAAAAAGAAAAGAAAAAGTAAACCCTGACTGGGAAGCAATAAAAAACATGTTGTTCAGGAATGAAATCGATATCTAGACAGGGTTGTACCTACCTGTACGCACGTACGTATCGGCACATGATAAAATGTCTAAGATTAATAAAAACAGAATGAAAATAGAAAAACAAGAACACACCCGAACACACTAAGAACCAAAATGCTTAAAATGATCGGTAAAATTCTGCCGGCAGAACATGGTCCTTCTGCGTAAAGAGATGATTGCCTCTCCATACTGATGAGAAACGCAGATTTTTAAAATTAAGCTTGATATCTACCGGTGGGTAGGATAGGATTAAAAACTGTGAGCACCCATCTCCCAAGCTAACATTTTGCCCTAAGTAAGAAGTAGGTAAGTGTTAATGTTGGCTTCGGGGAGGGGTAGATGGGCAGTTTCCCTGAAACCTTTATTGGCCTGATGGACGCTACGTTTTCTACCTGGCTTTAAGACTCTTGTTTGATCGCTCGCGCCTTCTTCAAATACGGGCTGTTTTGCAGACTAAATTCTAAGTACCTGCCTATTGCTCTGAGACTAGCTGCAGTAAGTAAGCTGCATTAAGTCCGGGAGGGGGGGGGTACTCCTAGGAATTCTTAGAGTTGGACTGTGCCGCCCGGTTCTCCAAATCCTGACCCTATTTCAGACCAAAAAATGTCATTTTCCACACCCGTTTTCAGACCTGGTCTCTAAAATCCATATTCGTTTTCAAACCTGGAGTTGGTTACAAAATGCAACATTACATGTTTACATAAAACAGAAATTATGTCATCATTGCTGAGATTAAAACTGCAACAAAAAGATTTCTTAACATCCATTTCGAACCCCCATATTTCATTTTCTTTCTTATTCATTTGGAATTGAAATGACAACAGTAAATCCTTCGTAAACCGTTCCCGATTCCAGACCAAAATGGACAAAATCTATACCCGTTTTCAGTCCAAAACGGCGCAAAACTTGACCCTACCCTTTGGGGCGGCACATACCTGTATGGCTTATATAAGGGAGTACCCCCCCCCCCCCCACACACCCACCCCACCCCAAAACCCTTCCCTGGGTATTTAATCTCACCGCCTTCCCTTCCCCCTTCCCGAAAACCCCCCTGGGTGGGCGGAGGGCCGCCTGGGCCCCTTCTTATTTTTTCAGCCTAATTTTTGTTGTTTTTTTTGATCCTTAAGAGGAAAACTAATTTTGAAAGATTATTTTAACAAAAAAAAACACAAAAAATTTATCGTGGAAAAATAAAAAGGGCCTCTCCCCCCCCACCCCCCTCGCGGGGGGTTTTTTGGGAAAGGGAAAAGGAAAGGGGGGTAATTTAATAACCCGGGCAAGGATTTGGGGGTGGTTGGGTGTTTGGGGGGGGGGGGGGTACTCCCTTATTAATATAAATTAACAACGAAAATCCTCTGCAAACCCTTCCCCTCCCCCAACCAAAAAACAAAAAATCTTTCCCCCTTTTCCCCCCAAAACGGCCCAAAACCTTCCCCCCCCCTTTGGGGGGGCCCAAACCTTTTTGGTTTTTATAAGGGGGTACCCCCCCCCCCCCCCACACACACACACACACCCTAAGTCCTTGCCTGGGTATATAATCTAGCCGTCTATCCTTGCTCCTTGCCGTAAAACGTCCCTGGCAGGGCGATGAGCGACGAGAGACTCTATTCATTATTCAGTCATAATTTTTGCTAGTTTTTGCTAGTTAAATAGACTCTTCAAAGTCAGTTTTCCGATGAAGGACTAATAAGATACTCATACTTTGGATTCATATAAACATATCCAAGATTAAATTAGTAACCCGATTTTGTTGTGTCCAATAAAAGCCTTCGCACGCCCAGTGGTGGTAAAATCAAACGTGCCCCCTTGCACTCTCTCTCAAAGAAAACAAGTCAACTATTCATAAACAAAGGTGTAGGTCACGAACTGCTAACGTGCCCTTTTCACGGCAGCCCTCCAAAGATAAACATATGTTCCAATCTCGCTATCTCGGCCTCCCCTTGTCTTTCAATCGATGCTGCCCACACACGCACACAACGTATGCCAAAATTGGAAACGCAGTTTTTTACGCTTTGTTGCTAAAATGTTTTGGAGGAGGACCTTTCTTTTTAGCTGCGCGTTTGTTTTTTCATAAACTTCTGGTAAACATAGTAAACGTTGAAAGCATACAGACTTCCCGCTGCCGAGCAAGACATTTAGTTCATTTAGTTTTATCAGTGAAATTTGTGTCGTACTTTACATTTTCATATTCATTTTAGATTTTGTCAATAATCTAATTTTAAATTCTCTAGACGTAGGGCCCCCTATGGCTGTTACCAGCCTTTGACCGAGCTGAATGCGCCACCCCAGTGTTTGAATAAACTTTGCCTAATTACTTTCTTTTTAATCAGGGAGCCAGGGGAGTAAAAAGTACACGAAACCCGACTCAGCGACTTCTCATAAGAATAAGCTCATTCTCTCTTGCCACGACTCATAAGGGTTCGACATTGCTTGCTCTTCCACAGGCGTCCCAAGCTCACTTTACGTAAGGTAATCTTGGGACACCTATGGCTTTACCGCTCCATTTCGATCCATTCATGTAAATGAAAGAAAATATGTTATGATAGGCCATGCAGAAATATGTCTGATGGTAAAAAGACCCAGAAAGTCGAAAGAATTTTTCATATGAGTTACAAATGGGCTCAGTCTTTTTTCTTGATCCATATCATTGTATGTTTCTTTTCATTTCATCTCATTTCTTTTCAACATACTTTCAGAGTTTAGTGGCAAAAGGCAGGGTAGAACATCATCCTCATAATACTTAAGGCTACAAAAAGACTGGTATTTTAAAGCCATAAAATTTTAAAGGCTTTTTTCACTTCGAGTCGATAGAGACAGAATATCGTTATTGGGCTGTACCACCCATAACATATTGTTTTTTCTTTTTCTTTCCTTTTTTTTAAACCAGACTGGTTCGTCCGTGTTTTAAAATGGTCAAATTGTGAAGTTTCACAACAATAGATTAAAACGTTCTGCATTTTAAAAGTATTGTTTACAAAGTTTACAAAAGACAAATAGGGGCAGTCACATTTCTTGATACCCATAATAACCAAAGGATTGGAGGGTTTTCCGAAAACGGGGATAGCTTACCAGACTAAATGATCTTTACGGTATAGCTTGCAGAGCTATTCGTGATCATCCACTGTATAATGACTCAGGAGATGGATAGTGTTATCCACATTTAGAGCACTAAAGCCGCCTGAAAGCGATTCAAAAGCTCAGTTTTTAAAATGTCTGTCGCATTTAAGAAAAGTGCTTGCTTCATGTGATCATGACTGCTATGTGATCCGGAACGAGCGCTTGCATGCATCCGCTTGCCCTCCGCTCGTTACAGCGAACTGTGACTTGCTCGTGGCTGATTTAATATATAATCTATACACTCAGGAGAAAATTATCTTAGCTCGATTCTATCAGATGCACGTGCACCTCAAAGACGTGTCGTGGTTTTGTTTCGTTACTCGACACAGAAAACAGAAGTCAGTTTCGTGTTGCATACTATTCCTCTTTTATCCATCGACTAATGAGAGTTGCAAGTAAAATTCAGGTCCAAAAATACCTTTTTCGCCTGTTTGGTTTTAACTCTCGACATAACGATCAGTGTCCTTTCCAGTAATAACTCGTATACTGACATACCAGATTGAAAAATAATTTCAAGTTTGGTCAATGACAATCCTGGAAAAAGGTACTTCGATGTTAGCTAAGTTTTTTTTTTCCACTGAAAAAAATAAAGATAGCGGGGAACCCCATGGAACTTTTG